GCCCCTGTGCTTAACTAATTAAGCACTATGCCATGAGGGCGTGCGGGGCAGTGAATGTACAGATCTACATTTGACCTCGGCACTAGCTGGAGGTGTGGTCAGCTTCACGCTCCGGCCGCTTAACCACGGAGCAAGAGCCCCTGGAGGTTGGGTGGACCCCAGGATCGGTCTAGACGAAATGAAGGAAAGAAAATTCTTGACCCTGCCGGGACTCGGACTGCAAACCCTAGGTCGTCCAGCCAGTAGCTAGTCGCTGTACCAACTACGCTATCCCGGCTCCTTACTTGATGCCTTAGTATCATCAACTGCAAACAAGGGTAAAATGGAATATAATTAATTTCCAAATTATTCTTTGCTATTTCGCGTACCTCACTGGCTTTGACCTTCGTTTAGCTTTGACAGAAGTCCACTGTCGCAAAGTTAATGGTATTACAGAGATCATACGACATTGTATTCTTCGTTTATTCGACAGGTTGGAAATACTTCCGGTGGGGTAAAGTTTACACACACACACACACACACACACACACAATGGATCACTTTCTGTTTGCTTCGTGTGAACCAGATCCTCATTATGTGATCAACAAAAACTAAAACTCATTTGGCAGAAATACTAGTAAGGTAAAGGTAAAGCTGGCCGGTCACGGTAGCCGAGCGGTCTAAGGCATGTACTGTCTTCGCTCGCTTGGAAACCGGGATCGTGGGTTCGAATCCCACTCAGGACATGGATGTTTGTGTGCGTTCTTCTGTGTTTGTCTTCAGGTAGAGGCCTTGCGACGAACTGATCACCCGCCCAAGGAGTCCTACCGAATGTGTAAGATCCAGAAAAACCGAAGTGAACAGAGAAGTTCATGGAGGTAGGCCTAGGCCCACTGGGGCTGTAGTGCCAAGGGGGGGGGGATTAAATTAAGTCTATTAGAAATGAATCTCTGCTGTCGCTTCCGAGTGATAGTTTTTTGTTTCAGTGCATCGTAGCCATTCCGTGTATATTTATGATATTTTGGTGAGGATACTTGAAACGCACAAGGTATGCTGCGCAAAGGAGGCAGTCTAAGATTGTCTACTTTGCGTGTCCTTCGTAGGAGCTGACATTCATTTTCTGCTCGACATTCCGTTCAATAAATGTGATTGGAGAGGAATACAGCAGAAAGGAGGGGATGTATACTGCATGACAACATAAGCCTAAAACTATGTATCCGCGTATTTAAAAATAGCATCTATTCACGTAGTCGTGGTGAAACCGAAATTTAATGTCTCTAAGCGCTGAGGTGTGAATTTAGCAGGCGGTGCTAACTGAAATAAAGGAAATGCGATACGTGACTCATGATTCAAAGCGTAATAAAAAATACCAGAGTTTTGGGTGACATTTGAGCAACAGAAATTAATTTTGAAGTGCAAGTGAGAATTCGTGAATCTGTGCGTGGTGCAGAGGCTGCTGTAACGCGAATTTGCTAACTGAGTTTCCAAAACAACTAACAATTTCGAGAATTCGCGATAAATTCGAGACTGGTGATAATGCGCAGGAGTGTACAAGAACGGTCTGTCAGACGTGGCTCTTCAACGACTGAGGGTAATTCTGTTATCGTATTGCAGCCATTCATACGATTTCCAGAAAAATCTCATTCTCGAATTACCATCACCTCTTCAAAACTATCTTCCGTTTTTCGAATTTCAAGAGAAATTTCGCCATGTTACGTATATTAACTATGTGCCACATTACATACAGGTACGTTATGCTTAGGCTCCACCATAAATTATCAAAACGTGTATACGTTCGTTTTTAGATATTCTGTATACGACAAACGACTTAGTTTCAGGATAAATTATCAGCCAACCTTAACATAGTTACCTACTTGCTTACTTAGTCATGGAGCTGAGCCCTTCTTGAGAAGCCGCCAATTCTGCTCCTACTCAAGAATTTCCCAGCATTTTATGGAACCCGAAAGTTCATTATCGTGTTCACAAGAGCCCTCCACTGGTCCTTATCCTGAGCCAGACCAATCAAATCCATACCATCCCATTCTATCTCCCTAAGATCCATTTTAATATTGTTCACCAACCTACGCCTTGGTCTTCCCAGTGGTCTCTTTCTTTCTGGCTTTTCCACCAATATCCTATATGCATTCCTTTTCTCCCACATTCGAGCTACATGCAATGCCCACCTCATCCTCCTAGACTTGTTCATTCTAATTGTACTTGGAGAAGAGTACAAGTTATGAAGATCTTCATTATGCAGTTTTCTCCAACCTCCTGTCACTTCACCCCTCTTCGGTCCAAATATTCTCCTCAACACCCTGTTCTCAAACACCCTCAGTCTACGTTCCTCCTTTAATTTCAGAGACCAAGTTTCACACTCATACAGAACCACAGGACATAGTTACGTACACAATACAAATATTTTCAAATGATTTGTTTAAAAATGTAGAAGCTGCAATGCCTCTGTGGCTGTCTTGCCAGTTTCACACAAAATTTGATGTTAACTTGCTGTTCAAATTGAACGTTCATTCTTCTCACAGCACGAATCCGCAACAGACAATTGACATGGGTTTCCCGCCGCGCCTACCGCCTAGCGGAGGTCGAGCGAACTAACGTCAGTAACCGGCAAGCCGTAAAATATCCCGTATTTAGAATTTCCCGGAATTGCCATCATTTACCTAAGCCGAGATATTAAATCAGTCTCGGAACTTTATGGACAAAAGTTGTTTATCAAAACGTGTATTCTTTCTTTTTAACATACTCTGTATACGATAAACGACCTAACTTCCGGATAAGTTATCGGCCAGCCTTATCATAGTCACGTACATAATACTAATATTTTCAAAGAATTTGTTAAAAAAATGTCAGCTATTGTCTACTGTATTTCAGTGTAGTCTATATCTGAAGTTGCATTCAAAGTAATAGAGTTCAGAGACAGATATCATGACTTAATTGTGTTAATGCTTTTGGAGTTTCAGTAATAATAAGTGACTACGTTTATGTGTTTGCCTCCACACATACACATTTGATCATAAGTTCAATATTTACGTCTGTCTTCTAAGAGGAAAAATCTTACGGCACTAAAATGAAACACACATAAGTTGTCAGTGTAAGGAAAAGACGGTTGTCATTTGTTTTCTTTTCTTTTTACAAGGAATTTTTGTCCCCCCAAATTCTAGACGTTATATTGCTAACGGTGTATTTGTGCCAAAGTGTCGTTAACGAGTGAGCCTGGAGTCTTGATACAGTTCCTTGGGAAGAACTGCCGTTTCACTCATCTTGGTGTCTGAACTCGCGAAACAACGAAACCCGGAAAACGAAAGGGATCTATTTTGCATATTTGTAAGTAAGTTGTACACAGTGAATGTAAGAAGTGGAAACACAAAAGTAACAGTAACAGTAACAGTAACAGGAAAGTAACTAACAGTAACAATGGGTGTGATCACGAAGCGGAAACAATTACATATATCTGTATTATTTCCGATGGTCCTTATACTTCCCAAAATTCTATCGGAATTCCAAATTTTGAGGATAGCAGGACGTGTGGCACGAATGGGAGAGACGAGGAATGCATATAGGATATTTGTGGGAAATCCAAAAGAATAGAGACGAATGGGAAGACCAAGGTGTAGGTGGGTGGACAATATTAAAATGGATCTTAGAGAGATAGGGTGGGATGGTATGGATTGGACTCATCTGGCTCAGGATAGGGACCAGTGGAGGGCTCTTGTGAACACGGTAAAGAGCCTTCGGATTCTATAAAATGCTGGGAAATTGAGTAGTTACCCAATTAGCGGCTCCTCAAGAAGGGCTCAGCTACATGATTAAGTGAGTAAGTGCCCTAAGTACCTCGTCTCTGTGACGTTACATCAAAAATAACACATTTGTATATAAATATAACGTTATCCTTGTGCTTAACTAATCAAGCACTACGCCATGAACGGGTTTGGGGGAGTGGATGTGTAATTCCACATTTTCTTGAACTCGGCACTAGTTGGAGGTGAGTGATCAGCTTCACGCCCCGGCCGCTTTGCTCCCGGGGAAAGAGCCCCAGGTACCCACTTGATAGGAGGCTGGGTGGGAGCCAGAGCCGGTCTGGGCAACGTGGAGAAAATTCATCTTACCGGGACTCGAACTCCGACCCATCGGTCGTCCAGTTCGTAGCCAGTCGCTATACCGACTACGCTATCCCAGCCGCCTTATCGCTGCTATTTTAGGTTTGTGGACATTGGATCCTATTTCAAAGTTGTTCTATAGGGAACCCTGAGTACGCTTCTGAAGTATGGCACCAAACACCTGGGACACCTGTATAATCTATGTTAAAATATAATTATTTTTCCATGAATGGAAGGATAATATTAAAATGGTCTTCTAATAAATAACATGTTAGAATGCAGACTGCACTTCACTGGTTCAAGATAGGGTCCAGTCAGTTTCTTGTGTACAGGATATAACGATTCTTTGGGTTGTATGAAAGAAGTTCTTGGCCAGCTGAGAAACTATTAGTGCCTGAAGAAGGAGTCTGATCAATTGAGTTTGTACAAATTTTTCGTAGGCTGAGACAATTTGGGACATCTCGGCGTAAATGGAAAGAGAACAAGCAAAGGAATCTTGGAGAACTAATGTGTGAGGATGTGGACTGGCTTCAAGGCGGTCAGCGTGTATTAGGCTGCGTAGAATTCTAGGAGATTCTCGACCATCTTAGCGATGATTAGATTCCCAAGAAGAGCTCTGCTCCGTGAGCTCGCGCAAGCGCACGCAAAGAACATGGAATGGTTCAAGGCGGCCAGCGTGTATTAGGCTGCGTAGAATTCTAGGAGATTCTCGACCATCTTAGCGATGATTAGATTCCCAAGAAGAGCTCTGCTCCGTGAGCTCGCGCAAGCGCACGCAAAGAACAATCAAAGGAATCTTAGAGAACTAATGTGTGGAATGGCTTCAAGGCGGCCAGCGTGTATTAGGCTGCGTAGAATTCTAGGAGATTCTCGACCATCTTAACGATGATTAGATTCCCAAGAAGAGCTCTGCTCCGTGGAGTTATGGATACGTCAGCTCGCGAACGCGCACGCGCGCGCACATACATACACAATGCGTGCGTATATACATTCAAAAAAATACAATAAACTTACTATCATAATGTTGTTCGTTTCAGAAGTTGCCAAATTAATAAATTCAAAATGTGAACAACAAATTCTACTGACTGATAAATGATTATTTAACCACAGATCGGGAGCCGCTAGGATGTTCCTCTGTGTCCTGTTTGCCTGTGCAGTTGGAGTGACTTCTGCTTCAACCCCAGGTAAGAGCAGCGTGAGGAAGAGGCGTACCTTCAAACTGATTATAACACTACTCGCGTGTAGAAAACCATGTTACGTGTTGTTTACATGGTTCAACGTGTGAAGGACAAATTACGACATCTATCTATCTATCTATCTATCTATCTATCTATCTATCTATGGCTATAGATCCCTTGTGGACCTTGGCCTCTTTTTCAGTTTCTTGATCTTTACACAGTCGGTAGACTCCTTGGACTGGGGATCAGCCCGTCGCAACACACTACCTACACACAGAACCACGAACACAGAATGAACGCACAAAGACATACATGCCTCGAGTGGTATTCGAAACCACGATCCCAGTGTTCGAGCGGGCGAAGATGATTCATGCATTAGACCGCGCGGCCACTGCGATCGGCACAAACTACGACATTCCAAGCGAATATCACTGGAAATGCCACAAAAAATAAGTCTGTAAAAATGTGAAGAAAGAACATTCAAAGAGTACAAAATTAGGTAACACTAAAATTATGGCAGACATTCCAGAATTTTAGTGTTAAGATAACTTACTGCATGCCACGGGGGGATCTGGAAATGAGGATTCAAATGTACAACACAATAAGTGGCATTATTACGCAACGTACAATATTTCTGTAAAACGTAACAGAAACATAACAAAAAACACACGTCACTGAAAAGATAAGTTTTGTATATTGCGGACAATACTGCCACTGAAACGAGGGGACACCGAAACAATGGAAGCAGAAAATTGGATTTCTGAGACATTTCCTGGGCAGTACGTGATTATTCACCAAGAGAGAAGGGCTAAAACGGAAGAAAAGAGATGTTTGAAAAACTCATAGTGAGATTATTATTTTACATTAATCATAATTCTTATTGATTCAACAGTTTGCAACTGTTACCAGGGTTCGTACTCTGTTCTCTTGACTTTGAGACCCACGCTCGAAATTTCCAATTATAATCACCATCCCTAACAATGATGACAAAAGTAAGGTTCAGCCAAGAAGAATATACAGGATAGCTGAATTCAGTTTCACATCACGTTACAAATCCTTTGGGTCACATTTAAAATGCTTCTTGTTTGCACTGATCTACAATACTGTCACGTGTCCGGGGTTCCGTGACTAATAATAAGGGGTTCTGGAGTAAATGGTTGGGTTTTTGACACCTTCTTTACAACTGAAATCGATTAGGACAGCTCACAATCGATGACTGCCTAAAACTCGCTCCATTCCTTATTGGACTACGAATGTCTTCTCTCCTGAGTGACTGACTTGGTTCTGATTTATAAATCGGTCACTTCTTCTTCCGTTGTCCGCAGGTTAACACGCCACTGCTGAACACTCAACTCTCTTATGAATGAAGAATGGTCACATTCTTCACAATAAAAGAGTCTTGGGTTCAACAGGAAATTCTGAAGAGAATCCACGCTCACACCTTAAACTCATAACTCTGTCTTTGTCATTTCGAAGGTGATCATATATTAACCTCGGGCGCTAATGTTCCTAGCAGCATATTCTGCACTACAGTGGTATGCTTTGTTTTTATGTTGCAGTGGATCTGAAAGCATACCTCCAGCCCGTCAATGACATCGATCGAGACACGTATCTGCACCCTAAGGAAGGCAGCAACATCTGTGCCCGTGAGTGTGTTCTGGGAGAAGAGCCCAAAATCTGCTACTACGAATGGACAGTGGAGAACTACGCGACTATTTCAGAGTACGTAATGCTACTAATAACGCTAAAGACAGTTCTATGCTTTCTGTGTATGAAGAGAGAAAATCAGTCTGCAAAATAACTGCAGGGAATTAAATAAAAATTGGCTAAGAATTTAATTTTAGTCGCATTAATTCAGTAAACTCAAATACAGTTTGTAAGTTTTGAGATTTTCATGGCCGTGACTATGAAGAATGCCGTCTTCTGGGATGTGGCGCCGTTAGATCTTGTGTGAACTGAAGTTTCGGAGGAACGTATCGCCTCCATCTTCAGCGTAGAAAAATCCGTGACCGAGGAACCAGCGTGAGCAGGTGGCTGCAGAGTGTAGCCTTGCTCGAGGATGTTTCTACCTTGAAGAGGGGGGCGATACGTTCCTCCGAAACTTCGGTTAACACAAGATGTACACGCCGCAACATCCCAGAAGACTATTGCAAGGAACACCTAATAGTATGTAGAAAATGCGCCGGTATAAAAGAGAAAGACATTCGTCTTATAATAATAATAATATCGTACATTAGTACTCAGGCAGTTTCTGGGTAAAATGTACAATACCGTAGGCCTTCGATATAAAGCGGCTGTCGAGACATATCCAGTTCCGTTGTTACAAATTAATTCGATATTTATCGAATTTTGGAAGTCCCGTATGCACAGTATTTATGCGATGATTAAGATCCGTACATGAAATTTGAGGTATATTTCAGACCGTGATGGAATAGGTAAACGTCTGTGGTCTAGTGATCAGGGTTCCTGGCTACAGATCCAGAGGTCCCGGTTTCGATTCCCGGCGCTACCAGATTTTCTGAGAAGTAGTGGGTCTGGAACGGGGTCCACTCAGCCTCATGAGGATAAATGAGGAGCTATTTCAAGAAATAAGCGGCGCCGGTCTAGAAAACCGAGATTAACAGCCCTGGGGATCCGCTGTGCTGACCACGTGACACCCTCTATCTGCACAAGTTGGCACTAACTTTGAGGACAAGCGGCGCCGTCGGCATAGTTCCCTTGCGAACTACAGGTCATGGAGGAGTTCGATTTTTTTTTTTTATGGAACATGTAAAAGGGGTGTTCAACAAACTTTGCTGTTTGAACAAAATTATCCCAAAAGACATATGGGGTGTTCATACGGGACTATGAATTTTATCCTATGAACTTGCAGGCTATTTAACGAATGTTACAATACAGCCTTCTAGTGTTCTAAGAGTGAGGAAGCAACAAAGGACTAAAGAAAAATATGCAGCAATGAGATCATGGTTAGTTCTCGCCAATGAATATTATTCAGGTAATCAAATAAAGAAAGATGAAATGGATAGGGTATATAGCGTAAAACTCCGTGGCCTGTACTCGTAGTCCGTAAGCGAACTATACTGACCGAGCGACCGCCGCTTGTCGGCGAAGTTAGTACCCACTTTAGCTGATAGAGGGTGTCGCGTGGTCAGCGCACCGAATCCCCACGACCGTTAATTTCGGTTTTCTAGACCGGAGCCGCTATTTCCTTGAAATAGCTCAGCAATTATCCTCATGAGGCTGAGTGGACCTCGTTCTAGACCCCCCTATTTCTCAGAAGATCTGGATGCGCCGGGAATCGAACCCTGGACCTCTGGATCTGTAGACATGAACTCTGACCACTAAACCACAGAGGCGGTCTATAGCGTATACTGAGTGAATATTAAATGCATACATATTTTCATAGCAAAGAGCTTTTCATAGACACAGTCAAGCGAGAAATATGAGTATATTCAAATGGAATGAGTAGAGACTGAATCATATGATTAAGGATCTAATTGCGGGAATTTCTAAAAATAGTCTTTTATCTTCCGATTCCACGAAGCAGAAAACGTAACTGAATAACTAAGAATTTTCAAGGAAACCTGTAGGAACAACTCTTTTATCGCTTATTTCATGAAACTGTCAATACATAAACTACACCGTGTTTAGGAAAAACGTTGCAGACAGCAGTACTTAATGACAGCGGACATCTTAAGTGCTTCTTTTTCAACCGTCTTGCTTTTCAGCGCGTGTGGAGGCTGCCCCGATAACGTAACGGACTGCTTCAACGACCAGTGCGTGACGGCAGATGGCTACGAACGTGGCATTCTAACAATAAACAGGAGAATACCGGCGCCCTCTATAGAGGTAAGGGTCATTTTGATATTTCTGAAATCTTGTTTTTTTACTCACTCATGGGACTGAGTCTTTCCCGAGAAGCTGCCAATTGTGCAGCTACTCAAGAACTTCCCAGCATTTTATGGAACCCGAAGGTTCTTTACCGTGTTCACAAGAGCCCTCCACTTGTACCCATCCCGAGCCTGAACAATCCAATTCATACCATCCCATCCTCTCTCTCTAAGATCCATTTTAATATTGTCCACCCACCTATGCCTTGGTCTTCCCAGTGGTCTCTTTCCTTCCGGCTTTCCCACCAGTGTCCTATATGCATTCCTCTTCTCACCCATTCGTGCTACATGCCCTGTCCATCTCATCCTCATTGAGTTGATCATTCTAATTACACTTGGAGAAGAGTACAAGTTATGAAGCTCCTCATTATACAGTTTCCTCCAACCCCCTTTCACTTCATCTCTCTTCGGCCCAAATATTCCCATCAACACCCTGTTCTCAAACACCCTCAGTCTATGTTCCTCACTTAAAGTTAGAGACCAGGTTTCACACCCATACAGACCACAGGCAAAATTCTAGTTTTGTATATTCTAATTTTTATGTTTTTGGACAACAGACGAAAAGACAAAAGGTTCTGGACTGAATGGTAGCAAGCATTGCCCAAGTTCAATCTCATTGTAATTTCCTCCTGAATCGAGTTTTGATTTGTTACAACAGTTGAAACCTTGTTTTTAAAGTAAAATGGATCAAATATTTATGTACGGCAGGAATATAATTGATGGCTTTTAGTACGTGTATATGGTTCTTCCTGCGTTCTTTGAAACAAGAGCAGAATTATTTAAAACATTCCGCCCTGAGGTTGAATTAGTAAGAATGTCTTTCGTTGTTTTGTGAACATGGTAGCTTCGATAATCTGTCACAAATGTTGGGACTGGAAGAACACATAAAAATGCACCGGTATTTACTTCATCGACATTTAAATGCAAAAGCCATGAAGCTAATGGGAGCAAATACAATTAATATTTCTGAGCGAAATATCTAGTTTGTAAAATATAATGCTTCAACTGGCTTAGAAATCTGCCAGTATCTTATAGAGCGTTTTATTAAGTGATTTTACATTCGACGTTTCGGAAAATATTATTAATTTTTTTAATTAGGTCAAGCGATTTTTAAACTGGTATTTGAATAAAATGTGTACAAATTATAGGTGCAACTGTGGGTGCCTCCAGTGGACGATGATGTAAGATTCATGCATTCTTACAGGCACGATGCGATATTGTATTTGTTTTCCCATTAGTTCACAGCAGTTGCCCCCTGGTCTTTTCCTTAGCAGCCAAGTAGACAGATTTACAATACAGCTTTTTGTAGATTTACTTACTTGGCGATATGTTCCTCCAAACTGTCGGCCTCTCTCAGAGCTACATGGCGTTACAACTCGTCAAAGTTCCCTCTAAACTGAGCGTGCAGCGGTTGTCACACTCCCGTGCACGAGTCTGTCTCCCGCGCACTGTTTCCGTTAATTTTTATTCACTTTTATTAGTTTAGTATACAGTCAATTTGAATCGATAAAAATGAAATTGAAGAAAATAAACTTCAATGATTTGTTATTTTTGGAGGCATAGAAATTTAATATCTGTTATGGAATTTTTCGAAAAAGGATGACCCCCCCACCAACGGGTTGCCCGAGCCAACCCAAATGCCGCTCAGATGACACCCTGAGTTGCGTATTTGCATCCCCGGCTTAGAGAGAACCTTTCTCTTCATCACATATTACTCGAAAATAAGAATGTACTGTCATATTTCACTGTTTTTCATTCTCATAATTCTCCATGTAATATTTAACTATCCGAACCCCAGTCTCTCCTCTCGTGCATGCCTATCACACTCTAAAATGACTACGTTCTTTGGTGTTGTTTCAGCTGATCAAAGTAGTCTATCAGATTACAATGCCTGTATTTTTACATTACTCGGGTAATAATCACCAGGCCGGTCACGGTAGCTGAGCGGTCTAAGGCATGTACTGTCTTCGCTCGCTTGGAAACCGGGATTGTTGGTTCGAATCCCACTCAGGGCGTGGATGTTAATTTGTGTGTGTGCGTTTTTCTGTGTTTGTGTACAAGTAGAGGCCTTGCGACGAGCTGATCACCCGCCCAAGGAGTCATACCGAATGTGTAAGCTCTAGAAAAACCGAAGTGAACGGAGAAGTTCATGGCCCACTGGGGCTGTAGTGCAAAGGGAAGAAGTAATAATCACCAGACAATGATAGCGTATGGATGATACATATTCTGAACCTTGTCACTAGTTAAGAGTCAGCATTCAGCTCCATGTACGCCCGCTTTAATGCCAGGGCAAATGTCTCATACTTCGCGGACAGAAAGAAAACTGAGTGTAGCCTCCAGCCGGCTTGAACTTCATGACGTTATCGGGAATCAATCCCGGTGGTCCACCCTGAATTTTTTTTTTTTACTTCTTCAGGTATGTCTTGGAGACAGAATCATCATTGATATAATAAACAACATGCCTGGGAGGACTATTTCTATCCACTGGCACGGGATATTCCAACAAGGATCCCAATTCATGGACGGTGTTCCCATGGTGACGCAGTGTTCCATATATGAGAGTACCACATTCCGATACGACTTCTACGCTAACAACGAGGGAACTCACTTCTATCACTCCCACGACGGTAATTACACGTTGTTGTAACTCACAAAACTCATCAGGCTAATTAGCATAAGAAAGGTAAAATTATCGCTGTAACAGGCCGTGAAGGCCGATAGGGTTGTGAGACGTCGAGGCTACCATATCTTCTAGACAATTGGTTCACATATATCGGTAGGGTTGTCAGCCTTACGCGCAGGCCGCCCTTTAACCCCAGCAAGATTCCTGGTACTCATTTCTGTTAGATGCTGAGTCGACCCCAGGGCCATAATGCGGCTGGAAGGATTAGGTCAAATGAAAAAAGTCCGCCTCGCAGGAATTCGAACCTGCGACCTTCCGGCTTGTAGCATAGTGCCTCAACCAACTATGCTACCGCGTGTCCCCAATTAGTACGTGTTTTAAAGGAAAATCCATAAAGGTAGATACTAGCCTGAACCATTTGCTATTTAGAATGATCTGAAAGAAGGAAAGCGTTTGTTGCCATTGCTTTATTGCTTTTCAACTCTGCTTTAGAATAAGACAAGAATATCGAAAGGAAATTACGAGAAAATTGAATTACATGGATCATCAACTGCTGGTATCTGCTGCTACCGAGACCTGAGTGTGCTAAAACATAAATTCCATATAGAAAAGCACCCATGAACTATTAATCTACGAGTATATTAAGGCGGCTGGTCTAGAAGTGAAATATTCGTCGACACAACTCTAGTAAACAGCTCACTTCCACATTTGTGTTAACTGAGATTATTTAACTTATGGTATAGTTACTTCACATGTTTCGACTCTCACGGAGCCATCATCAGGCAATACAACATACAAAGTCATGACATATTGAATTGTAACAGTTATTTAAGTAGTTACTATAGGATTCTGACGATGGTGTATAACTCACAAAGATACTGGGTTTTCGGATTTTAGCCATCGTCCTGGTTTTTAAGATAACTAAGAAAAACACGACGTTTCGGAAACTGTATCTGTTTCCGAAATGTCGTGTTTTTCTTAGTTATCTTAAAACCAGGACGACGGATAAAGTCCGAAAACCCAATATCTCTGAGTTATTTCAGTAATTCGTTCTGAAATCGCTCAATGAATCTTTGTCCCTTATTTCAGGTCTGGAGAAGCTCGATGGCTTGGAAGGTAACTTGGTGGTCAGGACACCTAAGGAATACGACCCGAACGGAAATCTGTACGATTTCGATTTACCGGAACACAAAATATTCATCAGTGATTGGATGCGTCTCCCTGCAGACGAACACTTCCCAGGACTCCGGGGAGTGAAATCAGGACAAGATGCTAATTCCTTCCTCATTAACGGCAGAGGACGTACCAGGGTGCGTTATGCCTAATATAAATGCTCTATTGAGACTACTGAAACCAGGGATGACACTTCTATTTCTTCTAAATATTAGAAGATATAACTGTACAAATCGGTTCCGACTGCCAAAATTTTAATACGGACGCGATGCAATTTGATGTGCATAAATCTGAACGACATATCGAAAAATATCCTTAATCCTATACACAGACGGTAGAACTTCTTGGACGGGGATCAGCCCAACGTAAGGCCGCTACCTACACACAAAACAGAAAAAAAAAAACACCATGGTCTGTAGTCCGCAAGCGAACTATAACGACCGAGCTAGTGACAGTCGCTTGTCGGAGAAGTTAGTGCCAACTTTTGCGGATAGAGGTCTCGCGTGGTCAGCGCAACGGATCCCCACGGCCGTTAATCTCGACTTTCTAGGCCGCAGCCACTATTTCCTTGAAATAGCTCCTCAGTTATCCTCACGAGTCTCAGTGGACCCCGTTACAGACCCATTACTTCTCAGAAAATCTGGTAGCGCCGGGAATCGAACCCGGGACATCTGGATCTGTAACCATGAACTCTGACCACTAGGCCACATTATGAAAAACATTTTAATATCATTCTGCAATCTAATCTGCCATCAGTGCGGCTGTTTCCGAATTGCTTTCGCTACAGAGTTTCGCACTGAATTTGTTAGGTTCCGAATGACACGGTTTGTTTGGCTACCTTATCTAAATCTACCGGAAGTGTGCAATGGAGTTTTCTTTTGTGTGCACCATCCACTTCTCATTTATTTCTTGTCCCTTAACTCCCAAGTATGTTCCTAGGCACCTTGTTTCAAACGAAAGAACATGCACAAGTCTTACCGTATGTGTTTTGGATATATGACGGGCGGTAAAATTAATGAAGCCAATGTTAGGTTACGTCAAAGCGGCCTCCGTAGTCTAGGGGTAACGTTCCCACCTCGTGACTCAAGGTACGCGGGTTCAAACCCGGCGGAGGGAGTGGAATTTTTAAGGGCGGAAAAATTCAGGGAAGAAGTCCTCCGGGAGGGATTTTAAGCCGTGGGTCCCGTGTCGTAGATTTACGGCACGAAAAAGATCCTCGTGTCCCTAGGAGACCTCTGAGCAAAATTAGGCAAGTTTCCCGCCCGAGTAGTTTCCATGCCTCTGGTAGATGGGGGAAGCATCAAGATACCGAGGGCCGACCTCGTTGGCTCAACGGGGCTGATAGCACGCACCAGTACCGGCAGGGTATGGAGACTGGTACAATATCAAAGGGGGACGTACAATAGATCAACAACTGGTCGCGGTGCAATAATAATAATAATAATAGGTTACGTCAAAGTCAATAATAACAGAATTAAAAATATGGCCGTCATAAAAAATATAAGCCTTTCCTCATATGCAAGAAGGCCAATGCGTTTTCATTTTACTTCGAATATTGACAATATTGTAACGCTCAATGCTCAAAATAAGAAAAAAAAAATCTGTGGTCCGATTTTTATGATCGAAACGTGTTAAAACTAGTAGCACCTAGTGCGCTCAATGAATGAGTCAAGAGAAACGTTTTCTCGTGAGATGAAACATTCTTTTTATTTTAAAAAAGTCATGTATATACAAAAATTGCCCAGGCAATGCCCATCTGGCCCTCTGAGGAAACAGTAGAAGGATAACGGACGCGTGCTGCGATCTGCGCGGCTATCGGCTGAAACACTGTCTTGACTTGAAGGAATAATTGTATCGGCGTATTAAAAGAAGACAAAAATATCTGCATTGGGGAAATTGCACGTGAAAGGCACGTAAATGAAGAAAGAAGGGGCTCGAAAATGGCTTAAGGCTAAATAAAAAACAAATGTATTCTGATGAAATCTTGCAAACTTGCGAGCCGTTGGATCAAGCGAATTGTGAAGCAGTGGAATCCTTAAGTCATGCATATCATGAAAGCTCATCACCCTATTCTAACTTTAATTTAGAGCTCATGCTGATGATGAGACCGCCTTTGTGGTCTAGTGGCCAGAGTTCCTGGCTACAGATCAAAAGGTCAGGATTCGATTCCCGTCGCTACCGGATTTTCTGAGAAGTAGTGGGTCTGGAACGGGGTCCACCCAGCCTCGTCAGGATAATTGAGGAGCTATTTCAAGGAAATGGCGACTCCGGTCTAGAAAACCGAAATTAACGGCCGTGGGGATTCGTTGCGCTGACCACGCGACAGCCTCTATCCGCAAAAGTTGGCACTAACTTCGCCGACAAGCGGCGGTCGCTCGGTCTGTATAGTTCGCTTGCAGACTAAAGCCACCGAGTTTGTTTTTGTTTTTTGACGACGACGCTCATGACGATTCTGTGTGTTGCAGATTGGAACTAAATCGACCACCACGCCGTACGGGCAAATAAACGTGAAGGCGGGAAATAGGTATCGGCTCCGTGTTGTGGGGGGCCTCTGTACCGTGTGCCCCGTAAAGCTCACCATTGATGGCCACACACTGCTCGTCATAGCCACCGATGGCAATCCTGTGGCGCCCGTCAGGGTCGACTCCATCAACCTCTTCTCTGGTGAGTTTTCGATCATAAAGTGGGTTAAAGAGAGAGGAAGGAACAGGAAGATGAAGAAAATATCACAACAGGAAGTGTCTTACTTTGTGCTCTCCGCCAAATGGTATACTCGTAAAAGGTGAGACGTAAAGGAGGATGATAGGGACGGGACATGTAGCATAAGAGAAGTAATAAATGCGCACACAATTTTAGTCGGAAACGTAAAGGGAAGTAGTCACTCGGCAAATTTATAGATAGCTGTGAAGAGAAAAGTTTTAAAAAATATGACGTGAGAATTTGTATTGGAATCGGCTGGCACAGGATGGGATCTAGTAGTAATATGTTATGAATTCTGTTATGATCCTTGCATTCCATAAGAAGAAGGCGGATAATTACTTGACCAGCATAGAGACAATCGGTTTCGTCAGAAAGCCTCTGTTTCTGAGGTCACTTTCCGACATCCTTTGGTAGAAGCAGAGGATCTGCTGATGGGTCAAGCACATGCGCCATGTCAAGTTGATTATTTAAGATTTGAGGCTTTCACGGCGGTGACTATGAAGAAAGCAGTCTTCTGGGATTTGGTACCGTGTATATGTGGTGTTAACCGACGTTTCGGAGGAACGTATCGCCTCCATCTTCAGGAGAAATAAGAAATCTGCAAGCGAAGAGACCGTGAGAACCGGTAAAAGCAGAATGCTTTCTTCATAGTCAAATGTGAAAAATATAGATTTCATATTACACAAAGAACTTTTGGCACATGTCTAAAATCTCTTATACAATTCACAACCTTCGTACGGTTAGTTGACATCCACAGTTCTTTAACAAAGACGTATACGGTCTAAATGCCAATGAAAGAGATAACTCGATAATTATAAGCGGTGAATTGAAAAGAAGGGTTGTGACCTATTTCAAAGGCCGTTTCCCACCAGTCATCTGAAGGAACAGATTATCCACCACCTGACCGGGAATCAAACGTGTAAACATCCGAAGAGCAAGACGAGTTAAGGCTTCAGACAACTGTCATTTATGGTTCTCAGTGCCTCCAGAAGAAAGGACTTGTTACAGGTGAGAGATATGACGTCGTGCTGGAAACAAACAATGCGGGAGGACCTTACTGGATCCTTGTGCAAGGCCTTGCTACTTGTGTTGACCAAAGAGTTTACCAGTTGGGCGTCTTGGCGTATGAGGGCACAGCGTCCGGACAACGCTCTCTGCCTGAAGACCCAGGTTATGATGGTTTCCCGCTGCCTAAAAACTACAGGGTGAGTTACAACAATGCGCATACTCAGATACTGAGAATGATGCAACCCCTCTCCCGCTGTTGCAGCAGAATTAGGATTCTACGGTGAAGAAGGTGAAGTACTGCTCCTTTTGTTTCTTGTTTGAAACATTTCGACACTATAATAACAAATATCTATGACGGGGAAATTAAGAACATTACCAAATTCCGGAAATGCATGTTACTATTTAGTTCAGAATCGTTACTTTCCTGTCTGGTAAGAAACAGAGAATATAAAACACAAAATTATAATTTCTTCTGCCGAACTGGTATGGGCTAGAAATAATGAATAGTCATTCTAAGGGAAGAATATGGGTCGAGGGTGTTCGGGACAGACAACATGAACATGGGTGAACTTACATAATTACGAGCTTCAGTCGTTCTTAATGTTATTTAAAGACTTTAAGCACTGAGACTAAAAAGCACCTTCTGGTCGGGTTATGGGTGAACGGCGATGGGTTCAAAAGGATTTGGAAGCGGTGGTGGCCTAATGGAAGTATCATCCCGGAATCTGCCTGGAGGGACTGAGAAAACGGCGAAAACCTCAGCCAGGGTACCAGATGTCCCGGCCAAGTTTCCAGCGAGCATCTCCCGAACACAAGTCTAGAGCGTTGACGGTAGACTAACCTAATACGTAGCAACTTCGTCATTTTTTACACTTCATAAAACACACGTATTAATAAGGTGTATGAGATGGGTGAGACATGAAGCACATACGTGAGAGTAGAGAATTGAACAGAAAATTTTATTCGACTGGATTCATCTCCTCAGGATAAGGTCTAGTTGCGGGATCTTGTAAAGACGGTAACGAACTTTCGGTATTTGCTACAATACTGTTAATTACTCAACAGAACCTGGTAATATATATGGCCATGACATTTTGGCAGGGACCCAATGTAGGTCATCAGTCTTGTGTCATTCTTGAAGTTCAGACACGCAGTATACGGCTTCTGTAACGATCTAGAAACGGAGTTCTGGTTTGGGCCCGCTAAGCTCATAGGTGCGGGAGCCGGTAAGAAATATTTGTTTTTGATGTTCGTTATCTGACTTCAGTGTATCATTATTACAAGTCGTAAACAAATACGTATCTCTGTAATCGTAACGTTCCAACAGATGCGTGCAGTGTGCACGTTGCTCCCGGAAGCACGCTCTGTCATGAACCAAAAGCACTGTCGTGTTTGCAGATCTTGAATCCAGAGAATGCAAGCTGTAACTACGGGTCGGGTGGAATTTGCGCCACGCAACTCGTGAATCCGAACCCCGTGCCGAAGGATATCCTGAAAGAGCTCCCGGACATCAACTATGTTCTCACATTTGGGTTCCAAGGCCTCGACACCGAAGCTCTCTTCAACTCATATGACCGCTTCATTGGTAATGTAACAGCTCATTTAACTTGAGAGAATTATTCCCGATATGGGTCCCCAGATCATTGAGGGCCTAGGAAGTATTGCTGGGGATTCGTATGCTAAATTCATATTTGAAAATTGTCCAACAAACATCGTACTACTTATTTTATTACACATGATTCTCGTTATCCGACGTATAGTTTCACAGGTGACATACTTCAGATGTGCTCACAAAAACTTCCTCTTATTTCCCATATATATTTCTTTCTCTTGTTCTTTTACTTCCCTCCCTCTTTCAATCTATTTTTCCTTCTTTTAATCACTCTCACCTTTCTTTCTATTTACTTTTTCTTCCCACCTTTTCCTATGTATATTTATTTATCTTCATTTCCCCTTTCCTCTCTTTATATTCCTTCTTTTACCTCTCACTCTAGCCTCGGCGTATCGCTCTGTGTGAGCCCGAATACAGACATGCTGAGCAGCACCATCAGAATTTCCTCTCCCCTCTCCTACAGACCTCAAATCTTCAATAAGAGCGAACTCTCATCTGGTCCTGCTGAGCAACACTATGATGCGTCCTTCCCCTATCATTCGAAGTTTGTCCCCTCGCCCCAACTAAGACCTATTTGGACCTGCTGATCAGCACTATGAAAACTTCCTTACCCTATCACTCAAGGTTTGTCTCCTCGCCCCAATTGAGACCGATCTGGACACGCTGAGCAGCACTATGAAAAGTTCCTTACCCTATCGCTCAAGGTTTGTCTCCTCGCACAAAAATGAAACCGATATGGGCATGCTGAGCACGAATGTAATTTGTTCCTCTCAATTCCTGGCCCACAGTGAGCCCTCTGGGGGACACGCTGAGCAGCACTGTGAACAACATTTCCTTCATTGCGCCACCTGCTCCGCCCCTCACGCAACCGGACGATGTGCCAGCCGATGTGTACTGCCCAACTGACTCTGACGGCTTGGTACGGTGTCCCGAAGGAAAGTCCTACTGTCTGTGTGTCCACGTCATCAAAATACCGCTGGGTTCCGTGGTGCAGCTCCTCTTGTCAGATAAATGTGAGTCATAGTACCACCCAAGAGTAAGTGGTGGTATTCATTGGGTTAGAATACAGCAATTCCATGTACCAGAAAGACAGTGCGGTTTGGAAGAAAAAAATCACGTTGGAAATTGGGAGTTAAGAGAATTGTGGCAGATGTCAACAATAATTACAACAGTGACAAAGTCTAGATATTTGTAAAAATCAAACAAATCTGATGCCACTACAAAAATGTAGACATATTATATAAAAAAATTAAGTTTCACAAAAAGATTTGCCTCAATGGCTACACTGGGAGTTATAAAACTGGTTGCGGCTGACATATCAGCCTTGGGTATGATAGTCATTCATGCTTACAGTGAATGAAACAAATATTTAAAGCAGGAGACACCTAAAACAAGTACTGGCATCGCGGTCGGCAATAAGAAATTGCGCTGGGTGAGGGTTTCCGTGTTTTAAAAATATTGATGCCCATGAAATGTGGATACACAAAGCTTCCAGTTTCAAATAACAGGGTGCTTTCCTTTAGCCACACTGAATTCAAAACAGAACACAATTTGCAACAAGGCTCTCATTCGGATTCGGGAGATAATTTGCTTGTGGTCCAGTAACAAAACAGAACGTATTCTCCTTGGCTGTCTTTCCTCTACTTGTCACATCGCCATACGCCACCAAAAGTTGACCCTGCTGGCCGAAATAATTCGAGCATATCGACAGGTAAATAATGCCGGCCTGTTTTATTCCATACAAGTATATACTCAGCGAATTTTTGCTCTGCTACTAGTGTAGGAGCCATTTTTTCACTGTTCCAACTGCAAATCACTTAACCGATTCCATGAAGCCGAGTCTTTCTTGAGAAAGCAAAAAAAAAAAAGAAAAGAAAAACACACACAAACTCTGTGGTCTGTAGTCCGCAAGCGGACTATACCGGCCGAGCGATAGTGCCAACTTTTGCGGATAGATGGTGTCGCGTGGTCAGTGCAACGGATCACCATGGCCGATAATCTCGATTTTCTAATTATCCTCATGCGGCTGAGTGGACCACGTTCCAGACCCACTATTTCTCAGAAAATCTAGTAGCGCCGGGAATCGAACCCGTGACCTCTGGATCTGTAGCCAGGAAATCTGACCACTAGACCAAAGAGGCGGGTCGTCCTTCTTGAGAATCTCTTAATAAATAAACTAGGCAAGAAATCCCTAGCCTTTTTTAGAATCCATAGGTTTATTATCGGATTCATAAGAGCTGGCCACCGCACATTATCTCGATCCAGCTGAATACAGAAAAACACCACAAGTAATTTCTTAAAATTCCATTTTCATATGGTCCACTCGTACCAGCCCACGTCTTCCTTCAGGTATTTCGGCTAAAATTTTGTATGATTTTCTCATCCTTGTCCTGCGATCTGTATGTCATGTCCATGTAACGGCTCTTTATTCGACCACTCTAAAAGAGTTTAAAAAGTTAATGTCAGTTATCGATAACTCTGCTATGTTTTTATTAAGAACAATTCCTCCGCTCTAGCTCCCAGATCCGACCTGAACCATCCGTTCCATCTACACGGATATGCGTTTTACGTCATGGAAATGGGAGTGTACTCCGAGGATTTCACAGAAGAAGCCCTCATTGAAGATTTGGGGAAAAGAGTAAGAGCAACATCCTCTGCGCCAATTCTTAAAGATACCCTCGCTATTCCATCCGGCGGCTACGCGGTCATCAAGTTCAAGGCAAATAACCCTGGTAAGTTGTTTTCTTTATTGCTAGTGGGGTGGGACTAAGTCCCTTGTACTGCGGCCACTTCTGGCCTATTCGTGAGGGTGATTGTGGAGCAATTGGTGGAATGAAGATCGGCAGGGAAACCGAAGTGCTCGGAGAAAACCTGCCCCAGCTCCACTTTGTCCACCACAAATCTCACTTGACTAAACCCGGGATTGAACCCGGGTTGCCGCGGTGGGAAGCCAGCGACTAACCACTTCAGCTATGACGCGGCCTCTGGTATGCTGTTACTGTCATCAACTTGGTAAGGGAACTTTTATGGTTTAAAGTGTTATTGCACATTTCACTATACTTAACTCTTTTTATTTCTTGTTTTACTCGGATGATTAATACTATCAATAGAAAGCAAACTCCTATACAAAGCAGTAATCAAACCCATATGGACCTACGGAATTCAGCTATGGAGGACATCCTCCAATTCCAACATCAATATCCTCCAGTGCTTGTACTTCAGGACTCTCCCACCCTTTCTGAACGCACCTTGGTGCATAAACAACCATAGGATCCATTAAGACCTACAAATGAATGCAGTGCGAAGTGAAATAAGAAAGAGGAATACCAAATACTTAACAAAATTAGAAAACAACGCTAATGCACTAGCAGTGAACCTACGTACTATAGTCCATTCGCGGAGACGAGACAGTTAGCGTAAACAAAGCAAGCCCCGCGACGCAGCAGCAAACAGCAAGGAGTGGACAAAGCGCGCAGTTACTCAGTGTACTCACTGCATTCGGACGCACGTTAACCTGCATTAGACCGAAGAGTGAATTTTGGACGCCCCTGCAACGGTACACGCATCACGTGATCGCTGCATGATTTCATTCAATGAGCGAAGGAGACACCGCGTGCATTTGTTTACGAGGACGCTCTCGTCTCCGCGAATGGACTGTAGACAATAGCAAAACTACACACAGACTGAAAGGGGGGGCACGCGGTAGCGTAGTGGTTGAGGCACTATGATATGAGCCGGAAGGTCGCGGGTTCAAGTCCCGATGAGGTCATTGGATTTTCTTCAATTGATCTAATCCTTCCAGCCGCACTATGGCCCTGGGGTTCGCTCAGCCTCTAACAGAAATGAGTATCAGGAATCTTCCTGGGGGGTAAAGGTCGGCCGAAGGGTAGGGCTGACAACCTTACCGCCATCTTTGAGCCGATTGTCTAGATATTGTGGGACCCTCAACGTCTCACAACCCTATGGGCCTTCACGGTCTCTTACAGGGATAGCTTTACTTTTTACTTTTACACAGACTGAAAAAATACACCGTCCTAACTCTGCCAGACAGACCTGACTAAAACACCAGCACAAGAATTAAAATAATACCTTAGTGAACAAAGGAAAGCATGAGTTACGCCATTGGGCATAACTCATTCATGAGCCAGTACTTACTGAACATACGAGTATACATTTACTGCAGATTATATACAAGAAACGTGTGAAAATATTTTTGTTTTATCACTCGTGTTACTGTCGCCGTAGAGAGTAAGTATTTGCAGAGGACCGACGGTCTCAGCAGAGTGGTTAGCAGTCCGTTTTCCTGAGGTCTCATGTTCGGATTTCTGTCTTGTTCACCAACATCTTAAATTTTTGTCGCTTCTTCAGAAGGCTCCATTATATTTGCTCCTTTTTCAGGTTACTGGTTCCTTCACTGCCACTTCTTGTACCATGTAACGAGCGGGATGGCGGTGACACTCCATGTGGGGGAGCACAGTGACGTTCCAACTCCACCGGCCGGTTTCCCGAAATGTGGAAGCTTCACCCCCAAAGTGTACAAGGACTGAACTCTGAACACAATCTGACGACTGGCGAAACATAAAAATTGTTATTATTTTTGTAGATTATGTAGTAAGTAAAAATGCAAGTATAAATTTCAAACACGAATTAAATGTTACATGTGTTGGTATGCAAACAAGTATTTCAGTATGACCACAATCAAATTCCACTTCCCCAAGTACAGTGATTATGATTCCTGCTATAGTGAGGTACCGGATTCGAATCTTCTCCCAGAGATCGAGTATGCAGTCTTGTCTCATGGTTTTCTTCAATGATCTACTAAAATGCTTGGATAATAATTCACAATTTGCCATGAAAGCTTACGTTCACATTCTGTCATTCTAAGCTACGTGATAAATAGACTTACATGTCGATCGAGATGGCGCAATAGTAACAATGTTGACTCGTATCCGAAAGGTACTCAGTTAGAGTCCCGGCCGGCACACCGGGTATCCTGACTGAGGAGTATGGTGATTTTCCTCACTCCATGCAAAGAAAATGTCAGGATGGTACCTCGATTAGACAATGACAGCTTCCTTCCAAATTCCTTCTAGGTCATGAATGATCGATCGTCCTATCATTCGACGTTGTATGGTTTACATACTGACAGCCTCGTGAACGAGAAAAATAACACGTATATTTGGGGAAGCAATCGCTGCCTGCTTCATACTACTTTGTTGATTGGATTATTCTTCAACCCTTTAAGATGGAAAGAAGTTGTTTCTCCGAAACGTCGATTTACTTCCAACGGAATGCATGGTGTTACATTTCAGAAGACAGAACTCCTCTTATCCACAGCAGCGAGAACATCCGATCCTGCCTATGGTTACAAATGTTACCTTCTCCACAGTTTTCCCGACCTACTCTTCGGAATGTGACATTCATCATCATCATCGTCATCATCAAAACAGAACTTCTGAGCCATAGCCTTAGTTAGGAGATTTTGCCAGAATGCATCCGGCTTTCGCTTCTTTGAATTCCGCGACAAAGATTTCTTTACAGAGCAAGGTCTTCAGCCTTGTGTCCCACTACCAATCTGGAGGATCAGGTCTCTGTACTTATGTCCCCAAGTGACAGGGTGAACCCAGTTACACCCAGGCACCGAGTTTCCTTTTCGTCGCCTTCTACGACTCGCAGGGCTGCGGTGGAAGTATTCTTACCCGCCTCCACAAGGGCAGGGATGTGATATTTTAAATATATTTTTTGTATCCCTATAGATAATTGATTAGCTTCATTCAAGGAGGAGAAAAATAACGCTTCACTTCCTCCTTCTAACTTGCATAAAGTTTGAAACAATTTTCTATAAAACATATGGAGGCATTCGATTTCCAACTAAACAAAGTCCTTTTGTTCCTATATGCGGTCAGAAGTAAACGCTTGATTCTCTTTCCTGACGCGCTTTTAGAAAGCGTTTCTTGTGAACGTATTTTCGATGTATAGTGCAACTGTACAAATTTCAAAGTAATGTGACATGACGTCTGAAAGCCGGAATAGTTCATTCCTAGGCAACGGCTCGGTAAACACATTCCCGTGGAAGGGAACGCGCATAATGATAGAAGAATCCGTTTTTAACCAACGGATCGGTAAACACACAATGTTAGGGGTATTGTTGGAAACGATGTTTTCTGTGAGGGCCGCCCAGAGCATATATAAGGAGGATCTCTGACAGCTGGGAGAGAATTAATGGAATCTCTTGAGATGGCAGTCGAAGAGGATGGAGAAGACACAGTGTGTTTTGGGAAGTGTAGTAACAATTTGTATAAGTGCGCAATAAATCCGGTCATCAATCCAAAACCTGTCTTTAAGTAGCGCACATCCCCCAAAACGGGACAGTATTGTTCATTCCTTACACAAAGTTAAGGCAAGCTCTTTTTGTTGTCTCTCGCGAGATAAATTGTTAAAATGATTTTTGGGCATCCTGTGTCTAAATTCCGACCTCATTAATTTACGTGGATCAGAGGAGTATGACTGAAAATTTCCATCCCTTCCAACTATACTATCCGATGTACAATTTTTAAGATAAATCCCTCTGGCATAAATTTTGCATCACTTTGTGCTGACTGTTTAAAATTAAACTGTCCATTTCCCTTGTCCGTAAAAACTGATGAATACAAACTTGTTGGTTCTTTTCCAGCTTTATGTCCGAATTATCGCGCAGAAGACGTGGACTGTAAAGTCACGTCAAAACAATAGATCAGAAATTAGAATCTATGCCACTTTTATTATATTTTCGAATTTGTCTGGCATTAGTTAATGACCACGTGCCTATTTCAGATCCTAATTTCATCTGAAAATATCATAAAAAGACGTGACGGTCAGGCAGATAGCAGAAATTGGTGGCTTGCTATAAGCGGACGTTCTAGTTAGTAAATTTATTTTTGTCACTCGTTAAATGCCCTACCCTAATTATCACACTGCAACGCGTTTCTGAGAACTGTTTTGGCGCTACTCTGACGTACTTTGGAAGAATACATTATCAGTTTTCCTGTATCATTCGAAAGCAACAATTTGTTTCGTCAAACAGAAAAGCGATAAGAAGTGACATTCAGGTACTTCCCATATACTTTGCGTATTACCCCACGCAATGTTGTCCCCTTGTCAAGTACATTTCGAACATTGGGTCGCGTTTCTCATATTCCTACGGTTCAAGGTCAGGGGCCTCAACGCTGACGTCTTTACTTCCCCTAGGACACCCCGTTATCAGTGTGGACATTATGGAGATGAATATGAAAACAGGAGAACTCGAGTGCGCATGTTTTCCTACATTCCGTTCGGGTTACTTATGATAATGGGATAGATAAGAAATACGCACAAAATCACAGTTAACGAATAGATATAATTTGGGACAGTCGCACAACAATAAAAAAGAAACAAAATAGACACTATTGTGTCAATATTTGTTTTTATTCGTTGTTGGTGGTATCGCTACATGTTTCGTCCCTTTTCCTGGGTCATCCTCAGGCGTAAACGAATACTGTTTAGCTTCTGAATTACGTCATTAATCAATATGAATTCATATTGTTTCTACATTACTATTCCACACTGATAATTATATCTTAATTTTAAGATGTGGTTCAAATATAGTTAAAACTAGACATTAAACTTGATATTAAATGGATAAAAATTAAAATTAAAATTAAAATGGCTGCTAAGGTAAATTATAGCCCATATTACAAATTTCATTTAAGCCTTGTGCCTGCTCCATATCTTATGTGTGTTGTGTGGTATCTGCTTGATGCAATCTTTCTTCAGAATACAGGTCGTGTTCGTTTTTTGACTTTCCTAGTAAATGCATGAAGGCTGAACACGTTGTCCGGGGTATCCCACTCGGATTGTTTGTACGTGGACTGCGATGTTCGAATTTGATATTATATACGTATGCATATATATATACGTATATACTTATATATACGCAGATCCCCGTGGTGAATATTATTGCTGTGCTGTAAATCCTGTCTGACCTGCCTGTATCTGACCACTTTGGGGAGCTAGGTTTAGATTGGAAGATAATATTAAAACAGATCTCGCAAGGAAAAGGGTTGAAAGAGTCTAGTGGGCCAGGCTCCAGTGGCGGCCTTCTGTGAACCTGGTATGAACCTTAGGATTTCACACAAGGCGTGTAACTTATATTTTGAGCCAGAAGAATCCAGTTCACGTCCTCACAACTTATCCATTCAGGAAACATATCAATATTATATTCCCATATAAGTCTAAGACTCCGATATATTCTATTCAAGTAAGATTTTTTTCGATTAAAGTTTATTTATGCACTATTCAACCCTTCATTTGTGCTGCATGACCAGCCCACGCCATCCATCTTGACTTGACCACTGTAGTAATATCTGATATATTATCATAATAATTGCCAAAAGAACCCATTTTTAGCCATAGTCTTCCTTAGAATGGTATGTATTCGATTGATGTGGCTCAGGATAGGTACCGCTGGAGGGCTCTTGTGAGCACAGTAATGAACCTAGGGTTCCATAAAATGCTGGGAAGTTCCTGAGCAGCTCCACAATTGGCAGCTTCTCAAGAAGGGCTCAGCTCAATGAATGAGTGAGTGAGTCTTCCTTAGAAGATCCAACGAAATGCATCCAGTTTTCAGGTCGTTGGATTTCGCAATACACACACACACACAGATCAAGGTCGTCAGTCTTGCTTCCAACCCTCAACATGGAGGACCAGGTCTCTGCATTTATATCCCCAGTGAGAAAGGACCCAATTACTCCGTAGGTATGTGTATGATGTGTCCCCACACCACATTTCATATGACCAAGTGCAATGGGTCATTATTTACCTCTAAGAAACTGAAAGGGGAACATGTCACGTTTCAGAGATGTCATCATACATAATACCTGTACCCCACATAAGTGGCGCTAGAGTCGCTTCCACCACGCAATTTCATGCATCTGTCAAATTGGTATGATTTAGTGTAGAAAATGAGAAACGGTGAATGTTCGGTACTTCTCATGGCATAATGTTCATACCAATTTGCATGAAAATCAATCGTTTCTCTAGTTTAAATATATAGAAGGAGAACCCCACGGAGCCCTGCATGCGTACATTTAGTGCAAGTCGCGCAGAAAACTCATAATAGTCTTAAAGTTTAGGAATATAAATCCTCCCAAAATCGCTTTAGTTCAGAAAACTCTTAAAGACAAGTTTGTATCAGGATAGTGAAAAAGAGTAAGGTGAAGTAAGCCAGCGTTCAGTGGCTCTCTGGAATGTATGCCCCCCCCCCCTCGGATTATACGACAGAGCCAGCGTTCAGTGGCTGTGTGGAAGGCATGCCCCCCGACTATACGATAGAGCCAGCGTTCAGTAGCTCTGTGGAAGTCATGCCCCCCGACTATACGATAGAGCCAGCGTTCAGTGGCTCTGTGGAAGGCATGCTCCCCGACTATACGATAGAGCCAGCGTTCAGTGGCTCTGTGGAAGGCATGCTCCCCGACTATACGATAGAGCCAGCGTTCAGTGGCTCTGTGGAAGGCATGACACCGTGACTATGCGACGGTGCCACATCTCCTATATTCGTCCTAGAGTGCGTCCTATTTATTTCGGTCAAATCATATTTTCCCTGGCACTCACTACATGATCATTTACTTCAAATGCTTTTATGCGATGTTGATGAATATAAGAACGCATGACGGCTGTCTCTTGAGCTTGCATAATCCATTTAGATAAACAGTTTTACAATATTTGATTATTATTTTATTCTTATCTTGCAACTGTGACATTCTGACAATTATTCTTACCTTGCGATTTTGTGTGACACTTTGACACTTGTGATTCCGAAAATGACACAAATAGCTTTGCTGCTCTATGTTCTAGTTCTGACTATTCGTCAGCCTTTTGTTTATTCCAGACATTGCCATATAAAATTGTAAATAATCGTTGGAATAAAATAAATACACACGTTAGAATATTCTGAAATAGTAACTAGAAATGTATGAAATCAATACGAAAATTCACACGTCTGTGGGATTTTCTAGTATATCCATACATCTTACAGGCCCTTGCAAGCCTGTATTTGAAACTTGTGTTGCAACAAATGTATTTACCTTTTTAGCCAGGTATACTCAAATAAATAAAGAACCTAACAGCACATATGTCCTGTGGCACGTCATACCGTATAGTCTGGTACATATCTGTCAACATTTCAGTTGATCCTACTGTCTCCACCTTCAGTTGTAAGTCTAAGCCGCAGGAGACTGAAACGTAGTGACAGGGCCTACAAAGGAAGGCAGGACAAGAACCAGGTTTAAGAACGAAGAAATTGGAGGGGTATGAAACGAATAGGATAGCCCTAAAACTGGAGGCAGTAGGTTAATAAGAAACCTTGGTAAATATCAGGCCACACAGGGACAGGCCTAAGAAGGCAGCATCTTCACAGCCACAGCCTCGGAAGCCTACCGCCTCATAAATTAAAAGTTAACATTCGTTTGCCTGCCCCACAGGTAGCGGTTGCGGAAAATCATAATAACCGTTTCGCTTAAGGCCAATTTTCCACCACAACTGAAATAACGTTTCTCACTTTCCTCATCGTCTTTCTTTGATCCTTTTTCTTCATAAAATTGTGTGAACTATTTCAGAGAATAGCAAATAAACAATTAACCAACAAATTTTAGTCTCTGTAGTATTTACAGCTATAATTTGCATAGCTGGTTTTTTAACCTAATCCTGCATATGGCTATGCATTTACAGAAACTTCACATTATCTGTATTGGCTCATACACTGTTCAGTAGACAGTAAAACCTTTGGTTGCCTATCATCCTTATTACGTTCAAAATTCAATAAAAACTGTGTTATATTCTATATTTTCTCTTCGATATACGTATCACGTCATTAGCGTAAAATAATCTACGGGAAATAAGATAACAAGAAAATTAATATTAAATGCTTGTTAAATAAATAAATTTAAGATACGTTTAAAATATTTAAGAAATTACAAATGGAAGTTAATTGTCAGTTACAATTATTCAAACATTTATCTGACGAAAATGCGTATTACAATATATTGAGATGAGACTCTCACATACACGTACAAGAAGCTACTGAAGAAACAGTGGCTGCTGTATAAGGCATAACTAGGGAACGGTTGGATAATATACTTGAAAAATGTGAATATAACAGTCAAGATTTTGACAAATTCTACTTTGAGTTGTTTAAAAAATGGAAGATACCCGTTGAAGTCGAGATAACTTGGACTCTAGCACATAGTAAATACCAAAGAAATTGGAAACTTGATTCGTAATTAATATACACAAAAAGAATCATCATTTTTCACTGGCTATACAGCCCCCTTGGGCCCTGGCCTCTGATTTTTCAGTTTCATTATCATTTAATAGACGACTGGACTCCTTCGACGAGTGTTCAGCTCATTTCAAGGCCTCTACCTAAACACAGGAAAACACACGAACACAGAATAAACACATATACATATCAAATATCCATGCCTTGTGTGAGATTCGAACCCACGATCCCGGGTCCCGAGCGAGCGAAGACAGCACATGCCTTAGACCGCTCGGCTACCGCAACCGGCCAACGATCAAATATGAGACGTAATTTCAGAAATATTTATATTTCACTTCATCAAGAAATGAAGAGAATTCAATATTTATTCACTTCGTAAGTTATAGGAAGGGTTGTGGCTAAGTGACCTGAGAAATACTACGGTATATTCACAGAACAAAATATGCCAGCACGTTAAATATAATAAGTCAAATTAAAAATAGGTCACCTCAAGTACTCACCAGGACAAGTTAAGAAACCAATTAAGACAGACAAAGGAGTGACACAAGGATGTGAGTGGGCTGTCCCCGACTTTACACAATCAACCCAATGATGAATACAAGAGTTGGAATACAACTGTCATCTCACATTGGATGCAGACGATTCTATGATAACAGGAAAATCAGAGTAGGAGTTACAAATTACTAGCAACAATGGCACATATATACGGAAGTGTTCACACGAGAAATAAAATAAAGGAAATGTGTGAAGAAGTATACAAAGAATAACAGCGAAAACGTGTGGAAAAGTATTAGAGCAGGTACCCCATTTTATTTACTTAGGAAACACTGAACACACAAACGAACTTTCAATTTCTAAGACAGAACAGAAAAAATATCGAGACACTTAAAACGTGTTTTTGAAAAAGTGTCAATTTATATGTCTATATGAGAAGGGATAGCGTAGTCGGTATAGCGACTGACTACAGGCTGGACGACAGAGGAGTCGGAGTTCGAGTTCCTGTAGGGTCAAGAATTTTCTCTTCTCTATGTCGTCTAGACCGGCTTAAGGGTCCACGCAGCCTCCTATCCAGTGGATACTGGAGGCTCTTTCCCGAGGGTAAAGCGGCCGGGGTGTGAAACTGACCACTCACCTCCAACTAGTGCCGAGGTCAAGGAAATGTAGATCTATACACCCACTCCCCCATACGCCATCATGGCGTAGTGCTTAATTAGTTAAGCACGAGTATAACTTTACCTAGATGCCTATATAATATAACGTAAATAGAAACACTTTATTATGGCAGTGAAGCATGGATTTCAAATCAGGCAGAATCCCAGAAATTAGAGGCAGTATAAATGCAGTATAGAGACCGATATCTGGTTTTACTAGATCAGACTACCGAAGAAATTCTGACAAAATTTAAAGTTACAAATACAATTCAAGTGATGCAAGAATTCAAACAAAAATCTAAAAAAAAAGTGGCTAGAACAGATTGAGATTTCCTTCCATAATTAACAGTCTGCTCCGACAGAGGGGACAACAAGACTTGGGACGACCAAAACGACGATGGAGTGGCTAACCCCATCTTGAGATTCACAGAAACAGGCTTTAATGATCTAACCTGACAAAAAAGTTGTTCGTGATGATGATGATGATGATGATGATGATGATGCTGCCCTTGTTGACGGTGAAAAGAGAATGAGGTGTGGACTGAATTCAAATGGTTCAGCATAAGATCCAGTGTTGGAATCTTGTGACATCACTGCCGAACCTTCCTTTTCCATAAGATGAGGGAGACTTCTTTGTGGAGTTCGTAATTTGCCATAATAAGCCTATCAAGTATCAAGTAATGCAATTCGTACATACGTGTATGTGTCTTCATTTGTTTACCTTCTAGTTTACTGTCACTCATATTTAGGAATAATGGTATTGTCCACGCGTGATAAGACGCGTGATAAGTAAGAAAGTTGGAATTCCTACGCTACATACTAGTTCCCTTAATATTCTCGGTATTACGTAAGACACCATCATTACTAAGAATACACCATACGTCGTGACATGAAAAATTGTAAGTATAATTTATCACTTCACAGATGTGAGAAATTAGTTTCTTACTATATCTCAGAAATATAATATTTTTGCTTTCATTGTGATTATTTATCAGTTTCCCACAGATAAGAACTAGCAAAAGGCTACCATATTAAAACCGTGTTCAAGGTCTTCTATGTCTGATAGGCCTACCTGCAAAATTCCCTCCAGAAACATTCAGTATTTAAAGGTTAGAATCCGATGGTGAATTGTCTGACGTTTCTCAGGCACGAGACCAGGGCTGACAAACGTAAGTTGAGCTGCCAACCTAACTCTGAACATGGGATAGTGAAATTTCATAATTTTTCAAGTCTACCGAATATTCACTGCATTATTTCAAAGTATAAACGCGTAATTTCTGATTAAAATGTATAGAATGCAACAACCTATTATGTTTTATGTATTATAGAAATCTGTCAGTAAAAAAATTAATCATAAGTAGACAATTCTGTTACAGATCTCTACCACAAAGTAGGGAGACTCAGATCAAATTTATTCCGTGTTGTTCTTGTTTCCTAATGCCTTCGCCAGTGCGGTGGTACATGCCAATAATTCTCACGTAGTAGTTCGCCTCACAGATGTGTTGTTTCCTACTGTCACTCAGTTGTTCTGCGGGACATGCGAATAATTCTCACGTAGTAGTTCGCCTCACAGATGTGTTGTTTCCTACTGTCACTCAGTTGTTCTGCGGGACATGCTAATAATTCTCACGCAGTAGTTCGCCTCACAGATGTGTTGTTTCCTACTGTCACTCAGTTGTTCTGCGGGACATGCCAATAATTCTCACGGAGTAGCTCGCTTCACAGACCTGTGTTGTTTCCTACTGTCACTCTGTTGTTCTGCGGGACATGCCAATAATTCTCACGTAGTAGTTCGCCTCACAGATGTGTTGTTTCCTACTATCACTCAGTTGTTCTGCGGGACATGCCAATAATTCTCACGTAGTAGCTCGCTTCGCAGACCTGTGTTGTTTCCTATTATCACTCAGTTGTTCTGCGGGACATGCCAATAATTCTCACGTAGTAGCTCGCTTCGCAGACCTGTGTTGTTTCCTACTGTCACTCAGTTGTTCTGCGGGACATGCCAAGACTACTCACGAAGTAGGAAACTTCAGAATAGGTTTGCCATGTTCTGTTGAATCGCATTGCCATTTCTTCAAACTATCAACACTTTTACGTGTGCATAATGTATTTTCAGTGTTAAGTTAAATGGAACACGCAGACACGTGAATCAAAACTCTGTATTCAAAGAGGTCATGAAGCTTATAACATTTGAAAAACAAACAGTTGGAGTCTATTTGCATTAGACTTAATAATATGTTATACAACGAGGTTGTTTTATCATAGTCGGCAAGTTCAGGCAAGTTAATAGTTAAAATACAATTAAAAAGAAAATGGAACTGTAGTTCCATATCTGAAAACATTATCATTTATGATCGCATATTAACCTACTGGAAAATTGTATGATGCATTATATCCCGATTATCTATATAAAATTAATTTTAAAATGGTAGAATGAATTTCTTAAAATTACGAAAACATTTATACCGAGGTAAACGAAACCTTTATTCCGATATGCTCGTATCAACAATTTCGATCTCATTTCCGCGACATTTTACAGCCGTTGAAACAGCCATGTTACTAAAACTGTCCGCCCTTCGTCGGGCTTCTTGTATACAAGAGAACTGAATTACAAACTAACAGAGACGGCATGATAAAGATTCTGATCTGTAAGAAAGAAAACATAACCCAAGGAGGCTGTGCATATAGAGCGCACGTCCATGGGTACGAGATCAAGATTAGCTTCATTCATGGGCCGATACATACATTTTTTCGCACTGCCTCCCACAGACAAATAGGTATAAACTTGTCAGAAATGATTAGCTGAGAGGAAGCTTCCACAATTTTTAAAACACTGCAACCAATTGCTCTTTTCCAGACTATTTCCCTCAGACATGTATCTGCGCCGGTGCTGGGTTCTGCTAACCACCGCCATCGGTCTAGTGTCGGCTCAAACACGGCGTAAGTAACAGCTCCTTAACCCCCCACCAGTTCAGTTGAACTGCAAGGCACGAATGGCGTATCTAAGTAAAGTGAACGACAGAGAAGGACATGCAACAACAAATCATCCATGTACATCGGTTTAAACAGGTTATCTCAAATATAAGGAATATATGTACATATTATGTGTGTGAGTGTGTGTGAATTTGTGTGTGTGTGGAAATGACTCCATGGAGCAGAGTTATTGAGTGGCTCGTGGATCGCTTCACTAGTAACAAAATTCTGTATCTTTTGCTTAACCCGAAAGTTCGTACCGTATTCTCAAGAGCCCTCCACTAGATCCTGTGTTGAGTCAAGTGACTCAGGTCCATTTCAGTACACACTACTTCGTTAAGACTGATTCTCACATTGTCTTTCCATCTGAGTCTGGGTTTCCCAAATTCGGTTTCCCGACAAAGATTTTTTTGTAATGTCCCCCTCATGATCTCCTTGATTTCAGTCACTCTAATATTTGGTGATAAAATACGTCAAATATTTTCTTCCATCTTCCTGTTACTTCGTTCAAATATTCTCCTCAGCATCTGCTCCCAAGCATCTCAATTTATGGTTTTATAAGAACTGTGATGCTTTGAAAAGAGATACCAAGTAGAGACTGCAATACATTTTAGCTATTATTTCCACAAATTTCTGGCTGCCGATCCTTATCTAGTAGAGCCATGGGTTGGAATGCCGCTTAGAGAACGGATATATTTCAAGTATTAAGTAGAGGTCTTCAGACTGTCCAGTCTCCCTCCGAACGTTCTCTCACAGATCCAATGGCTACTCTTTACTGTTTAGGTATGAAAGAAGGCGGCTATATTCAATTTTCGTTGCATGTGTGTATCTGGCTCAGGATAGGGACCAGTGGAGGACACTTGTGGACACGGTAATGAACCTTCGGGTTCCATAAAACGCTGGAAAGTTCTTGAGTAGCTGCACAATTGGCGTCTTCTCAAGAAGGGCTCAGCTCCATGAGTGAGTGTGACGTCTCCCCTCCCCCCATGACTTTATCTAACAACGCGATTCTCTTTGTGTTCGAAAGGACTCCGATCCAAATTTGTACCTAGTGTCCGGGCAATGAGAAAGAGGTTTCCCACGTTTTATTAACTGATTCAAGACACATACTAAATTAGTATTCTAAATAATTAAGACGATTTTCTTACACGTTCCTTGAAGCTGATAATTGTCAGATTATCTTATACGTGTAATTGGACACTACATGAGTTATGCAGTCCAAAAAGGGACGTTAAGTAAACAAATAACAATCGAACTGACGTCGCCTGAACGAACGGAGGTTTCAGGAACTTACAGTAAATGTTATGCCGTGGGTGGGTAACCAAGCTTCGCGTCATATATAAATATCAATATTGCAGCAATGCCGGCATTTGAGCGCATTACTGTCACCTGATCATCTAAGACACCTGATATTGCGTAGTAAAATACAGAGCCTATTAAAGAAATATGAAATTCATATAGGATATTAGTGGGAAAGCCAGAAGGAAAGAGACCACTGGGAAGACCAAGGCGTGGGTGGGTGGACAATATTAAAAGGGATCTTAGAGGGATCGGATTGGATGGTATGGATTGGATTGAGCTGGCTCGGTATATGGACCAGTGGAGGGCTCTTAGTGAACACGGTAATGAACCTTCGGGTTCCATAAAATGCTGGGAAATTCTCGGCTTCTCCTCAAGAAGGGCTCAGCTCCATAAGTAAGTAAAATACGTGGCAGCCGTCACTGCAGTCCATGCTATGAAAAGCCTACTCCGTGATTTTACTCTGCAAGCGAACCATTCCGACCCGTGCGACCGCCGCTTGTCGGCGAAGTTTTGTGCCAACTTTTGCGTACAGAGGGTGTCGTGTGGTCAGCGCAACGAATCCTCACGGCCGTTAGTTTCGGTATTTCCTTGAAATAACTCTTCAATTATCATCACGAGTCTGAGTGGACCCCGTTCCAGACCCAATACTTCTCAGAAAAAATCTGGTAGTGGCGGGAATCGAACCCGAATCTCTGGATTTGTAGCCAGGAACGCTGACCACTAGACCACAGAGACGACCGAAAGGTCTACACGCAGCTTTTCTAAAGGGAAACAGGCCTGCGCAACATACGTAATAGTAAATTAAATTTGTCCTTGTGCTTAACTAGTATTTAAGAACTATGCCATGAAGGCGTAAGGGGGGGATAGATATAGAGATCCACATTTTCTTGACCTCGGCACTAGCTGGAGGTGGTTGGTCAGCTTCACGCCCTTGCCGCTTTACCCCGGGAAAGGGCCACTGGTACCCACTGGATAGGATGCTGGGTGGCCCCAGTACCGGTCTGGACGACGTGGAGAAGAGAAAATTCTTACCCTACCGGGACTCGAACTCCGACCCCTCGGTCGTCCAGCTCGTAAGCAGTCGCTATACCGAATACGCCATTTTTCCAAACAAAGAAATCTTATTAAGAACTTAACAATTTCAGCGTTGTTTTGTGGATGGTAGGATGGGAGATGGATTATGTGACAATAAGGCACGAGGGTGTGGGCAGGATCTAACGGCGGCTTCTTGTGAACTTTAGAGCTCGATAAAACGCGCGGAATTTCTTGACCACCTCAACGATTATAAGTTTTTTGTTTTCATGAAGGTCTCTGCTCCGTGGCATTAGTTTGCATTTATAGCGTACGAGTACAAGGAAATTTGTTTTGTGTGCCACATTTTCAGTATGCGCGAAATAATTACCGCAGAATCTATAGAATAGTTTTTCTTTAGTATTACAACGAGCCCTTTTGCCAACTCATTATGTTCGAAGCTTCTATGCCCTTCAGCAGCGTTTATCAGCTCAAGGTTTTGTTCCACAGTGAACCTCAACAATTACCTGCAGCCAGACAGCGTGACCCGGCAGCAGTACCTAACACCATCCAGGAGCAGCAACCTGTGTGCCAGGCAGTGTGTAGCTGGCGAGGCCCCCAAGATATGTTACTACAAGTGGATTGCTGAAAACTACGTCACGCTTGGGCCGTAAGTGCATATCGCTGAACAAGGTATCTGCGAAACAAGGGAATACCGGATGTGTTCAGCAGCAGACACTCAGTGCAAGTTACTTTAGTTTAGTTTCTTTGGGTGGGGTGAGACTGAGTCCGGCCGGTCACGGTAGCCGAGCGGTCTGAGGCATGCACTGTCTTCGCTCGCTCGGAAGCCGGGATCGTGGGTTCGAATCCCACTCAGGGCATGAATGTTTGTGTGCGTTTTTCTGTGTTTGTCTACAGGTAGAGGCCTTGCGACGAGCTGATCACCCGCCCAAGGAGTCTTACCGAATGTAGGACCAGAAAAACCGAAGTGAACGGAGTTCAGGGAGGTAGGCCTAGGCCCACTGGGGCTGTAGTGCCAAGGAAAAAAAAAGACTGAGTCCACTTGGTACGTCGGCCACCAATTGGCCTATTGTACCAGTCCTGGATGGTAGATGATGGACGTGGACCAGTCAGTGGAATGAGAATTGGCAGGGGAAACAGAAGTACTCGGAGAAAACCTGCCCCAGTGTCACTTCATCCACTACAAATCCCATATGACCTGACCGTGCTCGAACCCAGGCCGCCGCGGTGGGAAGCCGGCGACTAACCACCTGAGCTATGGCACGGCCACTAAGGGCAGGTTACCTTAATCAGAGTGTCTGTTGCTGTCAGACTGGAGAGACGGCTCAAATATCTACTCGCATAATGGTACTGTTAAAAGGGTAGAGTGAAACTCTCCAGCGTTTAGCTGGAGTTGTGGAGAAATAGCTCCCCTTATTCCTAATTTCGGTTCTAGGTGTTTCATAACATGAACCATGGTTCGATGGACTACATATTAGGGACATTACAAAGATATAAAAATTTTGTTTGTATATTCACAAAGGAAGTGACAATTTAGAGCAGTGTTCCTCAACCGCCGGGTCCTGGAATCAATTATACCGGGCTCTCGTCTTATAGAAAAAGAATTTACGGGCCGCGGTCTCACAGCGGTTGAGAAACGCTGATTTAGAGAGCTGCACTGGATCAATAAAGCTATATGAGAAGCTTTACAATGTTTACGCGTTACCGAATAATGTTAGGGTAAATAGTGGCAATCGCCGGTCACGGTAGCCGAGCGGTCTATGGGCATGCACTGTCTTCGCTCGCTCGGAAGCCGGGATCGTGGGTTCGAATCCCACTTAGGGCATGGATGTTTGTATGCGTTTTTCTGTGTTTGTCTACAGGTAGAGGCCTTGCGACGAGCTGAACACTCGCCCAAGGAGTCCTACCGTATGTGTAAGATCTAGAAAAATCGAAGTGAACGGAGTTCATGGAGGTAGGCCTAGGCCCACTGGGACTGTAGTGCCAAGGAAGAAAAAATAGTGGCAATCAAGTCAGGAAGATAGGTACGGGCGAGAAACGTAGCATGCGCAGAAGAGTTGAGAAGAAATCAGGAGCTCACCTGTGCCGGCAAGATGACACTGTTACAACGAATCATACACAAATAAGGTCTGAAGATGTGAACTAAACACGGCTTATGCAATGCGGGGTCCTTATCAACTGGGTAATGAACATTTGATTTCCCTAAAATGCAGGGACATTTCTCATCTAGCTGAATGACAATCAGCGTCTGAGCAAGGACGCTGCTCGGCAGAATTATTTAGTTATTTAGCTACAGAGTTGTGTCTGCAACAGATGGACTCAAGCCTATGAGTAACCAAAATGACGCACAACTCAATCGCAAAATGTGTGTACCTTCTGCATTAAGAGTACAAATTTCCTCTCTAGGTTCCTTGACTTAATCATACGATATATTTGTAATTAAGAAATCCTTGTCTTCCTATTTGTCTCCATAACAAACAGCAGATATGATAAAGCATTAATGACTACAATTTAAACTTACAGAGGACCGCCTCTGTGGTCAAGTGGTCTGAGTTCCTTGTTACAGATCGAGGTCACGGAATCGATTCCCGGCGCTACCAGTTTTCCTGAGAAGTAACGAGTCTGAAACGGGGTCCACTCAGCCTCGTGAGGATAACTGATGAGCTATTTCAAAGAAATAGGTGCTCCAACGTACAAAACCGAGATTAACGGCCGTGGGGATTCGTTGCGCTGACCACGCGACACCCTCTATCCGCTAAGTTGGCACTAACTTCGTCGATAAGCGGCGGTTGCTCGGTGGGTATGGTTCGCTTGCGGACTACGGACCACGGAGTTATTTGTTGTTGTTGTTGTTGTTGTTTATTTAAACTTACATAACACTGTAAAGTTTACTGCCCTTTCAGAGCTTGCGGAAACTGCCCTACTAATGCCACGGCTTGCGACGAATGGGGATGTGTGGTTGCAAACGGCTATGAAAAGTCCATCCTCACGATCAACAGAATGGTTCCTGGACCCAGCATACAGGTACTAACAGAACCGGGGGTGGTTCTATTCGGGCGATATAATATTGCAAATACTCTATCTTCTATGACGACTATTTGGACTCGAGGAGCGACATTCTATGTGCAGTCCATAGAATATCGTATTACAACATATAGACACATAGTTTCAGTAGTGATTGCACAGAAACTTACAAACATTTCGGATCCAAGTTGGAAAGGGCACACTGACCAATCGGAAGTGCTACTTTTTTAAACTGAGAAGGTACTTTAGGTCATTTGATCTGCTACGTACATTAAATTTTTGAATAAAACAAGTAGAATTTCATACTTATATTGTTTCCCGTTATTATTTTAGGCTAAAATAAAATAAAAATAGAATTACTACAATAATAATAATAACATAATAATAATAATAATAACATAATAATAACAATAGTAATAATAACAATGCGATATGATTACGTAACTAAATTATGCAGAAAACAGGCAGAAGTCATCCCAAATCATCTAAACCCAAATATACGTGCATGTGGACAGGGGGAAGCCATGTATAGGATGTATAAGAGGCTTAAACTTAGCAGAAGTCAAGATTACGGCCGTTCAGGTATTTACGTAGCTACCGCATCGGAGTAGAAAAAAAATAAAGGTATAACACGTTGCACAAGCCTGCATTGACAAAGGTCGTCCGCATATGTTATGTAAATCGTGTCATGTAATTCGTGTTGTGTCTATCAGTACAAGTTCCTTTAGGACGCTCAGTGAGTGCGGGTACACTCGTACTGAAGTACGGAGCAACAAGTTTGACGCTTACTCATAGAGACAGACGCCTCCTCTCCGCGAAGATTTTTTTTTTATTTCTCCAATTTATTATACAATCTATCCAGCTATTTTGGATAATAAGTACTAGTTATGATGAGTATAAAAGTAATTTAACATGAAGAACGTCTTCCAATGAACTCGTTCTATATGTAATTTAACTAATTATAGTCAACTAGTTAATTGTTTTACAAAATTAGATAGCAAATCTGGTTAACAGTTCTGACGGTTTAAATCTGTGAAGCCTCCTGACTTCTTCTTCATCGTAGAGGTGCGTCGCTAAGGAATTCGGGTGCTTCCGGAGGCGTGCCTGATATTTTTTACTGGAGAGCGTGATTTCCTCGCGTACTGTTGGAATTCCCAGGTCCTTGTGTAGGACGAAGTTTGGTACGTACCATGGTGCGTTAACTAGTACACGCAGTACCATATTTTGGAATCGTTGAAGAATTTCGATGTTGGAGTTGCTAGCGGTACCCCATAAGGGTATGCCATAGGTCCATATCGGTTTTAGTATAGTTTTATATAATAGGATCTTGTTCTCTGTTGAGAGCTCCGAATGGCGTCCCAGCATCCAATACATCTTGTGGAATTTAGTTCTGAGCTGTGTGCGTTTGGTCTTGATATGTTTTTGCCATGTGAGTCTTTTGTCCAGGTGCATGCCAAGATATTTGGCGTCGTCTGCTTGTGGAATTTGAGAATTATTGAGTTGTACTGAAGGGCAGTTGTCATGTTTCATGGTAAATGTTACATGAGTAGACGCGAAGAAATAGACCCAATTTCCAAACACAGAAATGGTCTTGGAACGAATAAAATTTGATGATGCGTTCCGACAGGGACCCGGAAGCAAGAATGACTGTGCTGGCGAGGCCCAGCAGCAATTTACTTCTATGCTACGCTTTCAATAATTATGTGAGAATATACAGAGGGGCACGCGGTCGCGTAGTTGGTTGAGGCACTATACTAGAAGACGGAAGGTCGCGAGATCGAATCCCGATGATGTGGATTTTTTCAATTTACCTAATCCTTCCAGCCGCACTATGGCCCTGGAGTCGACTCAGCATCTAATAGAAATGAGTGCCAGGAATAGTCCTGGAATGTTCTTGGGGGTAAAGGGCGACCGGCGCGTAAGACTGACAACCTTACCGTCATCTATGAGCCGACTGTCTAGAAAATGTGGGAACCTCAACATCTCACAACCCTATGGGCCTCCACGGCCAGTTACAGGGATCCCTTTCCTTTTTATACAGAGACACAGAGAGGTAGTTGATTTCATAAGCCTCCATTTATTTAATTTTTCAAAATAAGGGAAGTAGGCTAAAAATGTATCTTAAAATCTCAGGATAGGAACATGACATTGAACATGTAAGTTCCATAAACGAACCGAATTTCCTGACAAACTAAGTGAAAATTAACTTGGAATATCGTATTACAGCGCCATGTTGAGTTTTTCACGATATGAGGTTCAGGCAGGCAAAGTACACCACTCCACTAACTGTATGCTCTTTGTTTATGTCCTATGCGATATGCTTAGGCTTTATATGACCATCATCAGACACTAACATAACTTACTACATTGGCCTATGCTTATGTTTGCGTGTGATTTTTTTTTTCAGTTGCTTTCCTCGCGTGATTATATTGGTTCTGTTGGTTTAAGTTAAATATTACAATATTATTAACGTGAAAATTTTGAAATGTCTACTGAACATTTTCGAGTTCTTCGCACGCCTGATCCTTTACATTTTTCAACTGTTTCGGTTTACCCTTTTACTTGTGCAGAGGAAAAGCTGTATTTACGATGTTAAAAATCTCTACATTTTTTCTGAGTTTTCCACTTATATGTTTCACACTTGAGTCACTTAAATTTGTTCTGGACGGACGAGGAGTTTAAGAATAGCGCTCCTGTATTCCTTAAGCTGCGGTGTCGAATACGATATAAGGTAAGGTAAAGCTATCCTTGTAACAGGCCGTGAAGGCTCATAGGGTTGTGAGACGTCGAGGCTACGACATTTTCTAGACAATCGGCTCAAAGATGGCGGTGAGGTCAACCTTACGCACCGGCTGCCCTCCCTTTACACCCAGAAACATTTCTGGTACTCATTTCTGTTAGAGGCTGAGTCGACACATAGTGCAGCTGGAAGTATTAGGTAAATTAAAAATTCCAATGACCTAATCGGGAATCGAACCCGCGACCTTCTGGCTTGTATCATAGTGCCTCAATCACCTACGCTTCCGCGTGCCGCCCGGTATCGGATATATAGATAACGCATTGTATACGTGGGGAAGTCAAAAAGTTGTAATTATCACCCAGAAGAAACAGAGACACAGGTGCAAGAAACTGTATGTGAGTTAGTCCTCTACATACATCGTATGTGTATCTTATCGCGGTTGCCCCTGTGTGGGGCGATATTTTTCTGCGCGCATAGACATATCAAGCTACCTGCATATATTAACGTGCAGCTGGTACACTGACCAATGTATATTTATATGTGATTTTGGAGTGGGTTATATTGCCTATGTGATTATGCTGATTCTGTCGGCTTGTGAAAATCTAAATGTCAGTTTCACACAGATCTTTGCGGCAACACCTGTGAAAACAAGATTCATGACGACTTAGATACCCCACAAAGTCAATGAGATGGCAAAGACGCCCGGAACATGATATATTATGACTATTAGCTTCCTAAGAACAGGGAATTGTTGAATAACAGACCCCGCAAGATAGCCCTACTTTATACACGGTACAGTTCCTAGCTGCTATTTCTTTGTGTTACGAGAAGAGAAATTTATTAACTTAACTTGCAGTCTTTGAGAAAGCCTGTATCGTACAGCTGATAGTGTCCAGCTTAATGAGGGCCTACATGAGTGGCAACGGGAGCCGTGATAGCGTAGTCGGTATAGCGACTGGCTACGGGCTGGACCACCGAGGGGTCGGAGTTCGAGTCCCAGTACGGTCAAGAATTGTCACCAGCCTCCAACAAAATTGGTATCGGGGGCTCCTTCCCGTGGGTAAAGCGGCAGGGGCGTGAAGCTGATCACTCACCTCCACGTAGTGCTGAGGTCAAGAACATGTGGAACTATACATCCACTCCTCCACACTTCATCAAAACGTAGTGCTTAATTAGTTAAGCGCTTTACCTTACCTACACGCGTGGCAACAAATGAACTGGAAGCCATGTAATAGGAAGATTTGAAACACAACTCTAATGTGCAAACATACACACAGGTATGTCTGGGCGATCGTATCATCATTGACCTTCAGAACAACATCGCTGGAGGCCAACTGTCCATCCACTGGCACGGGGTGTTTCAAAAAGGAACGCAATATATGGACGGCGTACCCATGGTGACACAATGTTCCATTCACGAGGGAGATGCGTTCCGATATGATTTCTACGCTGCCAATGAAGGAACTCACTACTGGCACTCACATGACGGCAAGTACAGAGGTCTGCAGAGAGTACTTGGAGGAAGTAAACGGAGGGTGGAGAGAACTGTTTCATAACTCTTACCCCTCACGAGACGTTATTAAGGCGATTGGATAAATGAGAATGAGACGGGCGGCACTTATTACACGCATGAACATATATTCAAGATTTTAATTGGAAAAGCGAATAGACTATTTGGGCGACCTAGGGCTAAATGGGATGATAATATTGAAGCGAATCCTGCAGAACCAGGGCGCGAGGGTGTCAGACCTATGTAACTAACTCAGGGTTGGTTAGACAGCGTCACAGCTCAAGCGGTTAGTCGCTGGCTTCCCACCGCGGCGGCCTGGGTTTGATCCCGGGTCTGGTCAAGTGGGATTTGTGGTGGACAAAGTGGCGCTGGGTCGGGTTTTCTCCGAGTACTTCGGTTTTCCCTGCCAATCTTCATTCCACCAAATTCTCCATCATCATAATCACCCGGGGTAGGTACAATAGCCCAATCAGCGGCTGCCGTGCCGAGTGGACGCAGCTGGACTCCACCCCACCCCTAAGCGAATTAAAAAAAATCAGGGTAGGTTGGGTTTGTGGGCAGTTTTAAATACTGTATAGATCGTTTGGATTCCATAAACGGTGAAGCATTTTTGACCACAATAGATGTCGCCCTATGAAATTAGTGCCTAATAACAATAAACATCGAATAACGAGGCCAGCCATAAAGCAGACTTAGTAAGTCCCCATAACGTGCTTGCGTAGTAATTCCTGTTACAAATAAACATCAGAGCATTCACATCACAGGCTGTTAGATATCTGAGACACTCTACTCAGGATACGTAACAGTAAAATTCACATACAATATCATCATGGTCGTTAGTCCTGCGGGACTAGGAACCAAGAATGACTGTGCTAGCGAGGCCCAGAACCAATTTACCCAGCCGACCAAGAGAGGGGGCCAATAGAGGGGGAGTGACCAGTAGTAGTCAGACCCCTTTCCCTCGTTGAAGACGAGGCCTCATATCAAAACACGTAAAAGTCTTGAAAAGAATAAAAATATGGTCATGGGTCCCGAAACAATGACTGTGCTGGCGAGGACCACCAGTAATTTACTACTCGTGCTCGTACACTGTTGATATAGCGGTACAAACAAACAGGTTCAGCAATATAGTACAGTTAACGCAACATGTGACGCAATGCTGAATGAATATTATTAACTTTTAAGGTTTGTGTAACTTTGGAGTTGCATCTGGCGCGACTCGCGCAGTTCAGCAGCAAATTCATTTCAATTACATACATTTTCTCAGGCTTACAGAAGCTGGATGGTATCCAGGGTACCCTCGTAGTTCGCACACCGAAGTCAACAGACGCCAATGGAAATAGGTATGACGTCGATGTCCCCGAGCATACCCTCATGATTCTAGACTGGATGAACACCACGGCTGAAGAGAGGTTTCCGGGGCTAACCCGTCGGGAACCCGGACAGCTGCCCAGTACATTTCTTCTCAACGGCAGAGGACGCCCTAAGGTATTCGGCCATAAAACTTCTTTAGCTAACCTCTACTTTGTTGAACGAAAATTAATAACAGTCCAGGTTATACAGCATATGTTGCCGTATCGTCACCAGAATGCAGGGCAGAATCATGACATAAAGACAGACAGCCGATGTTGTGAAAATGTGGCACAGTCCAGATATTTGGGTACGACAGTGACAACTGAAAACCTGTTTCAGGAGGAAATAAAGAGGAGACTGAACTCGGGTAATGCTTGCTACCACTCAGTTAGAACCCTTTGTCTTAACGTCTGCTGCCTGAAAACGTAAAAATTAGAATATATACAACTATAATTTTGCCCGTGGTTCTGTATGGGTGTGAAATTTGGTCTCCCATATTAAGGGAGGAATACAGACTGAGGGTGTTTGAGAACAGGGTGTTGAGGAGAATATTTGGACAGAAGAGAGATGAAGGGACATGAGATTGGGGAAAACTGCATAATAAGAACACTCATAACTTGTACTCTTCTCCAAGTATAATTAGAATGGTGAAGTCAAGGAGGATGAGATGGGCAGGGCATGTAGCACGAATTGGAGAGAAGAGGAATGCATATAAGATATTGATGGGAAAGCCAGAAGGAGAGAGACCACTATGAAAGACCAAGACGTAGGTGGGTGGATAATATTTAAATGGATCTTAGAAGGATAGAATGGGATGGTATAGATTCGATTGATCAGGCTCAGGATTGTGACCGCTGGAGGGCTCTTGTGAACATGGTAATGAACCTTCGGGCTCCATACAATGCTGGGAAATTCTTGAGTAGCTGCACAAGTGGTGACTTCTCAGGAAAGGCTCACCTCCATGAGTGAGTGAGTGTTAGATTATACAGTGTCGAAAGTTGCGATAATGGCGAATTGAAAAGGAAGTGAAACGACAGGGTCATGGCATTTCAAATAATTTCCTGGAGGGAGTGAGTTAAACTATGAAAATTCAGTTATAAGGAGGCCCGACAATTACTTCGCTGGTACGAATCAGGAGTGACGGCCTCCAGTTATCTTTAGATGTGTTTGGTTGTCATAGTGACCAGTATGTGACGATATTCTCTTGCCCCTGTGACAGCTCGAAGCAGGCCAGGAGCGCGGTCCGCTTGTCCCGTACAATGAGGTGTGGATGGAGCGAGGCAAAAGGTTCCGTCTCCGTTTCGTGGCCGCTTTGTGCACAGTTTGTGGTGTGCAGATCTCCATAGAGGCGCACGACATGACGCTCATTGCCACGGATGGGACGCCCGTCAATCCAGTCAATATCAAATCAGTTCAATTGTTCTCAGGTAGAAATTCTTGACTTAATGTTTCAATCACAAATTGTAATGAATATAACACTGTCACGATTTTATGGCTCCGTGACTAATAATAACGTGTTTTGGACTGGATGACTGGATTTACTAACACCTTCTTTTACAATCTCTCTTAATCACAATCAATTATAGCGCTATCTCTAATCTATCCACTTCACAAATCACTAGACGACTAAGCTAAGCATTCTCAATCTTCACTAGTCGTATCCTTGTATTCTGTCCAAAGCGTGTATTCGTGAGTTTCATATGGTTATTGGCTGATCTTTGCAGCGAAGCCTCCATGTGTTTCCTGGGGTAATGTATGAACTGAATTTTTGTTTTACTTAGAGGCATTTCGGTCTTCAGGGAGGAAACATATACAGACGAGAACGTCCAAAGTTGGCAGAAGGATGACTGGAAGTAAAAGAATGAATAGTGCATGTTTTGCTGTCAGTGCAGCATCAGAAAACTGTCGCAAATCAGGAGACCACAATATTCACAGGGTTCGAAACAGACCAAATGCCTTGAATGGCTATTACTATTACTAACGTATTTTTGGAAACCTATGTTTCAATTGAAATAAGCCCAACAGAGCAGGTGTTACCTGAAGACGGAGAGAGAATCCAGTCTCCGAAAAGTTGTGTTTTGAAAAATAAACATGACGGTGTTTTTAGATAAAGACACGACGATGGATAATGTCCAGAAACATAATATTTGTACTAATTAATTCTGCGTCTGTTATGTTTTTGTTCTGTACTTGTGTTTTTTTTTTGTTTCTGGTTGTTTCTGTTGCTTCCTTCTGTTCGTGATGACTTTGTAATTAAATCCTCACTGTTGAATGAGACATTTATATAAAAATGCAGACTCGAATTATTATTATTATTGCCTCTGTGGTCTAGTGGTCAGAGTTCCTGGCTACAGATGCAGAGATCCCGGGCTCGATTCCCGGCGCTACCAGATTTTCTAAGTAGCGGGTCTGGAACGGGGTCCACTCAGCCTCGTGAGGATAACTGAGGAGCTATTTCAAGGAAACAGCGGCTCCGGTCTAGAAAATCGAGATTAACGGCATTGGGGATCCGTTGCACTGACCAGGCGACACCCTCTATCCACTAAACTTGGCACTAAATTCGTCGACATGTGGCGGTCGCTCGGTCGGTATAGTTCGACTGCGGACTACAGCCCACGGAGTTTGTATTATTATTATTATTATTATTATTATTATTATTGGGGCACTGTTCGACAGAAGTAATATTTTTTCGCTCTCTGTTACATTAAAATAACTTACGTACAGTTTATGGAGAAGTGAACAAAGCTTGTTGCTTTCTCCCTGCGTACATTTCCAAGTTCATGCCCAAAATGACGAGCATCTGGATCAGTGTAAAAGTGGCATTCTCCTGTGTCACTTCAGGTGAGAGATACGACGTAGTGGTGAATGCAAACCAGAGCCCGGGAACGTACTGGATTCACATGAGAGGACTGGGGGAGTGCGCTTTTCCGGAAGAACAAGTGTACCAGCTGGCTGTCCTCCGTTACACTGGCACCAACCAAGCACGCAACGATCCGCCGGGCTACGACGGCTTTGGTATAGATGGGACGGTATGTGAAACTACGAGAAAACACTTCTTTAATATAAAATTTGTTTCACATACCGCAATCGGCATTCAGTCCGGAAGTTCGGGTCGTTGCGTTGAACTGATACGAGAATGCGGTTACAGATTGCCTTCGTCAATTCAGTCATAAAGGAACTTTCTGTATTATTCGCATTCAAAAACTAAAAAGAAAACGAGAAGTTTTGGGAAGAACTAACTGCCTACTATCCCTTGATATGACACGGACCGCATAGAAAATGACGCGTCCAACAATACTTCTACTGTTTCGTGTGTATTTTTTGACGCAGTAACATATTTATTGAGCCGTTCTCTATCAGTGATAGATGTGATGAGAGGGATTTATAAAGTACGCCGTTGAGATGGGCTCATGTTCCATGATATACGTACATATCAAGTTTCATAAATATCATTGCAGGCATATAGAACTTGATTTGGAGGGGCGACGCACAGACACACGGACAGTATGGCGACCGCATTATTTTTTTTTCAAAATAAGGAAAGTAGGCTAAAAATAAGCTAGACTTTAGTACGAAAAAATGTTACAAAATAAAACGTACCGTTAACAAACCTATACTTCAGTCTCTGTTCACACTAAGAGTTACCGAAATGTCTGTTTAGGTTCTGAATCCTCAGAACGCCTCGTGTGACGTTGGACAAGGCGGTGTCTGCGTTTCTCAGCTGGTGGGCTCAATCCCGGACGATAAGAACGTCCTAAGCAGGAAACCCGACGTAAACATAGTGTTCAGGTTTGGCTTCCATATTTTCGAAAATATGCGGGAAACTTTCAACACAGGAAGATACGAACGTTTCTTTGGTAAGTATCCTAAACAACAGATCCATTTATAATAATCATATTTGACTCAAATATTATATCACATTCGAATCTGTTTTCTGATACCAAAAGCCACATTCCCTCAATGACAGTATATTTCGACTTACAGTTTGGCTAATGGGTTTCTCTTTTAAAATTCGATTCGCATTCCCTGTGTCTTCCACCCTAACCACAGTTCTAGTCCAAAGTAACCTCACAAATGTAACAATTTTAACAGTTTCAGATAAGCTGTGTAAAGAAAAGGATTTCTCGTCTTGTAATACCTTCTATTCCCATTGAACACCTAGTTCTTAGGCCGAAACACTTTAGCGAGCACTTACTTTTCAAACGCTTGCAATATTTTTCCTTCAAGGAAAGAAACAGTTTTCACACCCACATAAAACAAAAAACATGTTATTAGAGATAATCAAAAGTGAATGAATGTTTCATTAAGAAGTCATAATATTGTAGCGTGTTTTCTGTGTCACGCTACAAATAAGTTTACGCCGTGGTATTTGATATAGTGAATTTATTCCACTCGCTCGCCTTGCACACCTTACAGGCATTAGCTCTTGCAGTGTTACAATTACTGCTTACAATATCTCGGCAATACTGGACTGTCTTCTTCGGCGGCTTATAACAGACTGCTTCTTCTATGGAGGCTAATACCAAACTATCTTCTTCGGCGGTTGGATTCAGACTAACTGTGCGAATGCATTCAACCCCATTTTACAACCTCGGTCGCTGCTATGCAAACGAACCCTTTGTTATAACCGTGGAGACTCCTGTTAGAACTACAATAGAGCGACCGTTCCTATGCAACGGTCTATTCTAGCGTTTCCATAGAAGTGACTCTTCTGGATTCCAGACACGTTACAATATCATATCCGTAAAACTTGTGTTACTAACGAAGACGCTGTTAGCATACCCCAGATATTCAACATAGCTAACACCAAAGCCCGTCATTAGACACGATCCTGAGCCTGTTTCATCCGGTACCCATTCAGCTATTACTAAAGATTAATTTTAATATTATCCTCCCATCATCTGATTGGTGTTCGATCGCGTTCCAAAAGGTGTTTCCTCCAAAATTCTGTACGTATTCCTTATATCACCGAACATGAACTTTAAATTAAAGTTTTCCCTAATAACTGCTGTGGTTTGTAGGTCTAATGAAGGCAGGTCATGTGACATCTTCAGATACAGTTAAAGCCCTTTAAAAACAGTAATGCTATAGGCCTCTTACACACCGAGATGTTTGTGTTCAGTGTGAAAAGTTGAAACCTCGTATTTGCAGTGGCCCCCGACAGGGCCGTGCTCACTAGCTGGATGAACAATATCTCCTTCGCAACACCCCCGTCGCCCCTCCTCAGCCAAGGACCCGACGTCCCGAGCGAAATGTTCTGTCCCACTGGAAGAAGCGGATTCCCTCAATGCCCGGCCAGCACTGCCAACGAAGAGTACTGCGAATGTATCTATGTTGTGAAGGTGCCACTCGGAGCCGTTGTTCAGATGGTCGTAGGAGACCTGTGTAAGTAATACGGCTGCTCATATATGGTATTACTGTCATTACTAATATTTAGTTCAGAAACCGTTACCGAGGGGTCAGATGTTGAAATAATCTGCGTGGAAATAATGCTAGTCACGCCTGAGGAAAATCTAGTGGCCGTTGCTGGGATAGCAGAAAACCTCAACTATCTTCACGCGTTGCTAGGATATGAGAAAAGGCGTGACGATAAGGAAGAAAAAGGAGAGAAATGGGAAAGGAATATTGATGAATGATGAGAAGGAAATAAAGATATAAAAGGAAACGGGGATGAGGAAATTGTTTCAACGTGGATAGTAAGGAAAGAGCGAGGAAAGAACGACCACAGGACGGACAGGAGATCGGGGCACAATACTCCAGAAAGGAGGGAAGGAAATTAAGATAGGAAAGAATTAAAGAAAAATAAAGAATGGTTCTTCCTTCGTTTTTTGGCGGACCATGTGCTACTGCTGCTGCTGCTACTACTACTACTACTACTACTACTACTACTACTACTACTACTACCACTACTACTACTACTACTACTACTACTACCACCACCACTTCTACTACTACTACTACTACCACCACCACCACCACCACTACTACTACTACTACCACCACCACTACCACCACCACCACAACCACCACCACCACCACTACTACTACTACTATGACTGCTGTTACTACTACTGTTCCTATTTCTGATATTACTTTGGACCAGACCGACATCTGTGGGCACCTTCACGTTTAAACTTTAACCACAAGAAAGTGTAGCTGTTCGATATGATGGTACCCTGCACGTTACTATCTTTATGTAAACATGTGATCACCGTACTTATTATAACAGCACCAGTGGCCGACCTTCACCACCCTTTCCATCTTCATGGATATGACTTCTTTGTCATGGCCATGGACCAGTTCAGAAACGGAGAAACCTTGGAGAGCATCAGTAAGAAACTTCTAGATACGAACTTCAGGAGGTCGTCACTGCCAGCCCGCAAGGACACCATAACTGTCCCCTCTAACGGATATGCTGCCTTTAGGTTCAGGGCAGATAATCCAGGTAAGAGCCATTTCTGAGTGCTCATTGGATACGAGGATCCATGAGGAAAAGCCCTGATCCTATATCTAAAGCATACAGTACACACCCCTCCACACACTAACGCCTTACTCAATTAAGATTCATTTTAATGTTCCTTTCCAATTTACACAATGGTCTCCCATGTAGTTTGCTTCCTTCAGATACCCAGACTGAAATGTTGCATTATTTCTCATCTCCTCACACGTGCTGCGTGTCCCATCCACTTTCCTCCTTTCGTTTTGATCACCTGTGTATAGGGTAACACTGCCAATTCAGTCAGTCACAGCTTTGGAACTGTTAAGTCAGAAACAGCCAACTTTTAATTCCTTAAGAAATTTCAACCTTCATGATTTCAGAGGCGTCAAGCGGTTTCTAAAATCTTCACTCTTATTCTCAAAGGGAAAGTGAATTTAAGAAAAATCAAAATGGCGTTTTTGCCATACAGGCAATGTATTAACGCCAGTCATATTCGAATTTCTTATACTCAAATAAAAGTTATAAAAACAAAAATTAATTTAAGGAGTATTAAATACCAATATCTTAGTATATTCCAATTTCATAATTAAAATCCAATAGGAGAGATCACTTGGAGTACGTAGGCATACACAGTGTGTCCAGGTTCTGTTAGGACTGTGTTCATTAAAAATACAAGACGTGAATTATTTTCAAAATTGCACTCTTTTTATTCAAAATAGTCTCCTTCTGAATCAACACATAGCTGGAATCGATTGAAAAGTTTTCGAAAACAGTCACTGTACTCCTTTTGTGGAATCGCATTTAAAACTGCGGTACATTCCCTTTGGATGTCCTGGATGGTGTCGTGACGGTCTCCTTTCATCGCCAACTTAACTTTCGGGAACAGCCAGAAATCTGCTGGAGACAAATCTGGCGAATATGGAGGATGATCAAGGTTCGTGACCCCTTTTCTGGCCAAAAAATCGCGCACGGTCTTCGATTTGTGGGGTGGGGCAATGTAGTGGAGGAGCGACCAGGAGCCTTGCTCTCGATATTCAGGGCGAATTCGGAGAATTCTCTCCCACAAACGATTGAGGACTCCGAGATAATAATCAGAATTCACTGTCTGCCCTTCTGGCAGAAATTCATTGTGCCTGATTCCTTCGGAATCGAAGAAAACGGTTAGCAGTGACTTTACTCGACTCTTTTGAATGCGCACTTTCTTTGGTTTCGGCTTCTTTGGGCTCAACCACGCTGCATGCTGCACTCTGCCGCTTTGTGAGAGGCTCATATTGAAAACACCATGTCTCGTCATCAGTAACAATTGATTTTGTAACATTTGTATCACTTTAGGCCGACCGTAACAGTGTTCCACCCTGGCATGTTTTTCATCGTCTGACAGCGCGTGCGGTAGAAACCGCGCACAGACCTTCCGTTTGCCCAAATCCTCGGTCAAAATTTTATGCACAGTACTTTTTGGTATTCCCAAAAGCTCCTCGATGAGTCTTGCAGAAACACATCTGTCTGATGCAAGGATTTTGGTCACTATTTTCACATTTTCTTCAGTGCAACTTGTTCTCGGCTTTGACGCACGTGGAGCGTCTTCAATGTCCTCCCTGCCGTCACGAAATACAGCATACCATCGAAAAATGTTAGAGCGACTCAAACAATCACTACTGTATAGATCCACATTTTCTTGACTTCGACATTAGTTGGTGAGTGGTCAGCTTCACGCCCTGGCCCCTTTACCTCCGGGGAAGATCCCCGGCTCCATTGGATAGGAGGCTGGGTAAGCGCAAGAGTCAGTCTGCACGACGTGAAGAAGAGAAAATTCTTGACCCTACCGGGACTCGAACTCCGACCACCTGGTCGTCCAGTCCGTAGCCAGTCTCTATACCGGCTACGCGACCCCGGCTCTCTGACGAATGTACTTATGTAAATGTATTATTGTCGAGAAATCATTCCACGTTTCACTTCATAATTCACTTTAATCACTTCAATTAAGCTGAATTCATAATTCGCTGGGGAGAGAATAACTTAGGAACAATATTTCGGTTCCAACTGAGATTTCATTTCGATAATTAAGAATAACACAACAGCAGAAATAATGCCGAAGAATGGCATTGCTCACTGATGAATAATGAAAGAAAGACAAAGATTATCCAACGAACAGTGAAAGCCAAGCGAACGAATGGTCCTATAAAGAATAAATCACCGCCTGAAAATGAGTGATGAAGGAATGCTTTCCCAGTGAAGGAAGCTCACCTAAAGAAGGCAGGTCGCCTGTGGACTGAGAGCCTGATGAAGATTTACAGAAGCTCACCTAAAGAAGGCAGATCGCCTGTAGACTGAGAGCCTGATGAAGACTTACAGAAGATCACCTAAAGAAGGCAGTTCGCCCGTAGACTGAGACCCTGATGAAGACTTACAGAAGCTCACCTAAAGAAGGCAGATCGCCCGTAGACTGAGACCCTGATGAAGACTTACAGGAGCTCACCTAAAGAAGGCAGATCGCCTGTAGACTGAGAGCCTGATG